TTCCAGCGAGGTTGCAGTGAGTCCTGTCATGTCTCTTTATGTAGACCCAGTCTCCGGGATGGAAGCTGTGCGGCTGAGGAGGGGGTCCTGTCTCCTACAGAGCTTTGAGGTGGGGCCACACGTCCTGGTGGGCTTGTTGCAGGGCTTTTAGGGAACATAAGAGGTCAGAGTCATCAAATTCTACAAGCAGGTGTTCAGACAAGCAGGGAATTATAGGGAGGGGTATGCCAAACATAATTTCAAAGGGAGTGGCTCCTAATTTATAAGGGGAATTTTGTACCCTATACAGGGCATAGGGAAAGGAGGGCTACCCAGTCTCTGCCAGTCTCCATGGTCCATTTGGTTAGGGTCTCTTTTAGAGTTCTATTCATTCTCTCTATTTGTCCTGAACTTTGGGGTCTGTAAGCACAATGCAATTTCCAATCTGCCCCAAGAATAGACATGAGTCCCTGACTTACCTTAGACACAAAGGCCGGTCCATTATCCGACCCTATCAAGACTGGGAAGCTGTACCTGGGTAAGATGTCTTCCAGCAACTTCTTAACTACTACTGTAAGGGTCCGGCGAAGCGTCGGAGGAAGAGACCACCAAGAGACTGACTCATGCAATTGTCCAGTGCGCTGGGGCTCCGTGCTCACTCAAGAAGGGAGAGCAGCCCAGAGCCCCCAGCTGGGGCTGAGCACTGTTTAAGTACACTTTTTGGAGAGGGCAGAGGCTTTGCATCAGGACAAATCATCATCAAACAACAATTCTTAAACTTGATTAGTACATTCATTGGTGGGAACAGGTCGGGTGGGGGGGTTGATTGGTCACTCCTAAGCGGGGTACACTTTCAAACTGATTGGTTCGGGCCCTGTATGCCTACGTGACAAGCTGCACAGGGCCCTAGGCTATTAATCAACTAAATGGCCAGTAGGGCATTGTCTTAACTGCCTCAGGAATTTCAGGTTCTGGGTGTAGCAGAGGAACTTAACAATACCTAGTACTTCACTTTTTAACTCAGGCCTTGCAGCTTAGGAACTTTACAATGCCCGGTCTTTTACATTTTAACTTCAATTTCTTTTACCCTTACACTACTTGAGCTGTCTCACGCTTGGTTGGAAATGCTTCTACCCATCCTGAAAGGGTATCTATAAAAACTAGAAGGTACTTATATCCATATTTGCCACCAACCATTAAGGCACTGAGTCATAGGCAGTTCTTTAATCCATTCTAAATCCTCCTTGGAATATAGTGGCATTTCTGGTAGGCTTCGGGGCCCGGGTCAGGCAGGTTGGCTATCATCACAGTCTCTCTTTGCATAGCTATTCCCTGAACAGTTCTATCAGCCAGATTGTTCCCTCTAGACACCATGTCCTTAGGTTTCTGATGTCCTGGACAGTGGACAATGGCCAATTTCTTAGGCAACCATAGGGCGGTAATGAGGGCCAATATCTCTTCTTTATTTTTTATAGTCTTTCCCTCGGCTGTCAGTAGCCCTCTTTCCTTATAGATGGCGCCATGTATGTGGGCCGTGGCAAAAGTATACTGGCTATCACTGTAAACAGTCAGCTTTTTGTCTTTTCCCAGCATTAGTGCTTGAGTCAAGGCTATCAGTTCAGCTCTCTGGGCTGATGTTCCCCTTGGGAGGGGCTGAGCCCATACCACTTCAGTCTCTGTTACCACATACCTCTGACCTTGTTGAATGAAGCTGCTCCCATCTGTAAACCAGATAAGCTGGCAAAGGCTGGTCCTTGAGGTCTTCTCTGATGCCATGGACCTGCCCTAGAATCTGTGCACAGTCATGCAAGGGAGCCTCCAAGTCAGGGTTGGGTAGCAGGGTGGCGGGATTGAGAGTGGAGATTACTTAGGTCTTTCAGTTTAGGCTGGTTTCAAACTCCTGAGCTCAAATAATCCTTCCTCCTCAGCCTCCTGAGTGCTAGGATTACAGACACTTGCCACTGTGGGGCTACATCATACAAATTTTCACCCAAGTGGCAAGTATGACCTTAGGTATGTTATTCAGATAAGCACTTAAAAAAGAAATAGAACTATTATTCTTTATTACATTCATTTAAATACATGATTGCCTTCCCCTAATTTACCTCTGGTCTACAACTCATGATAGTCAAGAATTCTCTCATTTAATCATCTCTTTAATGAATGACCCCTTGGCTTCTAGGCAGCACTAAGTATAGGTTTGAATGAATGGAATCAATCAATCAATGAAAGCCAGAACCTTTTAACCAGATTAGGCCTAATGCTTTCTCTATTTTTACTTCAAAGATGTTTTATCTGATATAGAATTAAGCTTAAGGTACAATAGGCTGTAAAGCTTGTTAAATTATCTAAGGCATGAGAGAGTTAAAAAAACTAGTTATTTGTGAATTTTAGAACTGGGATTGGCAGCTCTTTGGGTAGGATGCTAAAACCATGCCCAGTGTCCTATGGAATAATTTCATTGGTAAGGATTTCAAGTGAAGAGAAATGGTGTTTTGCCCAGTATACTGCTTGGCTTGCCCAGTTGCTTCTGTGGACCCAAGGGTGGAGAAGGGGATCAACTTTGAAGTATAACTGCAAACAGAAATTTTAAAACAAAACATCAGGACTTGATTCTTATCTTCATAAGTTCATTTAGATATCCTAACACACCATTCTAATAGGAAGAGTGGAATTTTGACCCACTATATTAAAGATAAGGAGAAAGGTTATGTTTGAACAATGCCGGTTTAAATCGTGCAGCTGATTTCCTATTTGCTGAGACATGCTTCTGTGTCACTGAAGCAAAAAGCATGGCCTTTGGTTAGGACTAAGGGGATGGAAGTAAAGACTTCTGAGCCCTGTTGTCAGGTGAAGCACTCACCTCTGAGCATCACTGGGTTTCTCGTGGGTTATTTCTACCAGTTGGTATGAAATTTTTGGAAATATGCTTTGCGATGTTTAAGATGAGCACAGCAACATGATCTATGACGCTATTCAGTGCTGCATATCTTTTAAGTCTGCATCAGTCTTGCCTTAGATCCAACAGATCTCAAGGGCAAAAGCCAAATTTGTCTTGTCTTACTTTCTACAGCACCAAGCAGTCTATCAAACCACAAATCAATGAGTTTCTGATGTTTTAGTGATAGTTTGAATCTTTTCACAATTCCATGATTAGGTCAGCTGATCAAGGAGTGGAGTTTAATAAATTAGGTTAAATATTAAATATGGAATTTATAGTTGTCATAGTTCTGTCCTAAATTTGAAAGAATGGCTTTAGAGGGAAAACTGCTTCATTTTCAACATGAAAACACCTCAAAACTATTATAATTTCATAATCTTGCTGAATGACAGATGGGGAAAAAACCTCCTCTGCCCTAATGTAAAATCTCAGCAGGAAGAACTCAAGGGTAACTCTGGCTGTCTAATCCACTTGTGAAAGGCTGGCAGAGAACTAATCCTCAGACATACTGTTTTCTACTGAAATAATGTAACCAGTTTTTCTTGTACTGGTGAACATTTAATTTTAAATATATTATCCTGCTTGGGGATTTAATAAAATTCTAGTTTTTTTTTTTCCACATATTAAAGACCATTAGAATTGACCTGAGGACAGATTTACAGTATTAACAACAGGTTCATAAAATAACTAGAGAAAAGTTATATACTGATTTGTAATGGAAACCTTCATAAGAATAACTTGACGCTTCCTATTAAAATTTCCTTGAAACTAGTTGAAGGAACTGGACTACATCAGAGCATAACACGTATTGCTTTAGACAATTACTCAGAGAGAGCACTGAATTTAATTAGCTAATCTAACCATAGAGAATTGAATTTTATCAATGTAGCTAATGTAAGTATAGAGAACTGATTTTATCAATATAGAGAGTCTAACCAATTTAAGTTTAAAACCTGACCCTAACTCTCCCCCAACACTGCATTTTTAGCTATGTACAGATATGTTTCATCAATGAAGCTAATGGAAGTTTTACTATTCTGAAACTTTCTTCCTCTTTGGAATGCTCTTCTTGTCAGGCAAAAATGTTTGGGGGCATACTGTTTAACTGGTGAACATTACCAGTTAGTTTTGTTGAGTAAACACAACCTGAATAAGTTACTGGAAGACAGTTTTTTCTTTTGTTCAGAACTAATAGTTTTTTCCCACATTGTTAGCATGGTGGATTTTGAAGGGCAGATCATAAAAAATGAATTTAATGGGAGTTTCAAAGAGACTACCCAATAGCAAGTATTATGTTGTATTTTCTTTTTCATCTAGACCTTCAGGGCTGGTTGTCAACCCATATTGAAGAAAAGGTAAATAGAAGTGTTTATTTTCCAAAGCAAGAGAAGAAAGGCCTTTTCATTGTTTTATATCATTTATTAATGCAGTATACATTAGATCCCAAGCCTGCAGTTTCTGAAAACACCATGTTTTTTCAGGTTTCTTTCAGAACCTTCTGCAGTTTTAGGTTTGTCTACAGAGGTACCCTTAAGTGAATGAACAACACATTCTATAATTATTGAAAATATAGTATAGAGTGAAATGATTTAAATATTATTTAGGCACATATTGATTATGAAAATAGAATCTCTCAATACAATACTTATCTGTCTTGGTAAAAATAATAAAGCAAAGAAAATAATTCATTTCTAAAGTTGCTTTCCTTCACCTGTAAAGGTCTGATCTCCTCCCACTGTGCATATGTGCCCTTTACTGTTAAGGAAAGCTGTGCATATGTAGATATAGAAGAGTAAGCTATGGAAACACTGAAATATGTCCTTCTCCCAAAGGAGACAGAAGTGGTTTTTAATGATTCATTGCTTAAAATTGATGAGTAAGCAGGATTCAGAACCCATTTGGACACAGCTTATATCCCTGCTCTAGGGCAGATATAAGGACACTGGGGTATTGGGAGGGAAGTAAAGGCCCTGACTCTGCTATGGCAGAAAGAAAAGGACTCAGGAAAATTGGGTTACAATTTGAAAACCAATGACACACAACAGCAAATATAAGTAAAAGAACCACAGGTGCTGACTGATTAATATCTTAGGCCATCCAAATGCCTTTATTTTTATTTATTAGTTTCTTTTGATGGTTTAATCAAATAGCCAGTTTAAATATCCTCGTTTCCCACTGTAAGATTTTAGCTGCAATTATATTATATTGCCTTCTAAAAAGTTATTTTGTCCTTTTTATTTGTATTTTATACTCTTAATTGCAGCAGTTTTGGATTGATACCTATTTTTAAGCTGGCCCAATTTAAACCATTTGACATTTTATTAAGTGGCTATTAAAGATGAACCTTGGTTTTTTGGTTTTGAAGTATCATCCTATGCTTATATATTGATTGTATCTGAGAAAATTAGGTTAGTAGTATAAATAGACAGAACCTCCTGGTCTGATGTTGAGTGGAACTTGCCTAGAATGAACTTCTGAGGAATGCTCATTCAAAAGTTGTAACTGTAGGCAAATTCATCCTTCAACTGGAGAGTTCCAATAAATCTTCAATATAATAAAGATGTACAACGATATCTTTCCTCTCTGCCTCAATAGGAACAACAGGCTATTTCTCTAATTTAGCTATTGTTTTGTTCTAAAAGTAAACATTATAAAAATAAACCTGAAAAGAGAGCCTTAGGGAGTATGACCTCACCATATTCATACAGTGTGACAGGTACATAAAGAGGGGAGGCATTGCTAAAGCTATTCATAAACCTGAACAACCTTTCCAAACTTTTCATAAAGTTTAACAATTTAAATATCCATACTGCATCTAGGTATTCAATAAATATAGTTGCATATGTTGTGCTTTTCATAAATTAAATTTCTCAAATGCATCTTAATCCAAGATGGATTTCCACATCATGCCTATTTAAAAGCAAATAAAATAGATACTATATTCCTGGTCATAAGACCAAGCATATCTCCCTACCCCATTCAAAAGGCAGCAATATAATCTAAGTTTCCCTACAACTATTAAATGAGTGCTTTTCTGTTAAAATCAGAATATGGAAAAAATTCAATTTCTCCCTTATGCACTCCTGAGAACAAGCATAATCCTCTAAACTTTTTTTTTTTTTTTTTAAATTCCTTTACAGTGTTATTTTTTCTAGATAACTGAGAGAGTGGAGAAAGAAAATGATTAGGAGAACATTTTTCATCTCAGACATCTTCCTCCAGCCCCTGAGATTCTCATCTGACACTCTGGGACATGTGTAGTGGTGTCAACATCTCTTCAAATATAGCCCCCTTCACATTGGAACCTCTGAGGTTAGCTTCCTGAAGGTCACACCCAGACAGATCACAGTTCTGTAAGACAAAATAAGATTCATGTAACACCTATGGAGATCTAGGGCCTTATGTGTTTCTTTCACAAAGATTTCTAGGCATATTAGGACAGTATTCCTACATAACAAAACAGTTTCTGGAACACTCCTGACCATGTGTCTTAAAGTCAGATCTTCCTGGGTGATGCTCAAGTTGACCACCACAAGTATGTACAATCAAGGTTAAAGAGGAAGCAGGTAAATAAAATCAAGAATGAATTCCAATATAATAACTATTATCTATTTTTACCACATCCCAAAATAACAATAAGGAAAGGCATGAGATGGGGGAAGACTATTTAGAAAAAATATTGAGATTTTTACTTAATAATTAAACTGTATAGTAGATTTTTCCATTTTGTAATCCTAATGTTTTTATAGTAGGAAACTGCCTTTTTTAAAACCCCAAATATATGTGTATAATTCAATGAGTTTAGGTAGATATATACAGTGGCATAACCACCACAACTGGAAGCTGTTTGTTAATTTCTCAAGATAAGGGAAAGATGAGACAGATTCTAATAAAGTCCCTAAGGGATGGTGAGAGAAGGGTGACTACATAGAGCCTCTTAAGAGGCCAAATGTTCACAGCTGTCCCTTAATGGTCAACTGGATCAGTCTTTGCAATCAGCTGGAGGGAGAAAGGCTTTTGCTGCTTAACCATACTGACTACATGATAGCTGAAACCAAGGAAAAAAACCTATGACCTTAAGTGACAATAACAAATAACTATGCTCATAATAGGATTATATTGTTAACCTGAGGCTAGTTCTTCTTGCCTTTAAGTTTAAATGGCTCTCAATTTCAGAGAGCTATCAAGATCAAGGCAAAAACATCCATTACAAAATCAGCAGCAAGCTAAATTTTCACCTACTGTCTTCTACAATCCTGTCTATACCAGATTTGCTTGTATAAAACTATATTATTTAATATGATAGCCATGAGCCACTTGTGGCTATTTAAATATAAATGAGTTAAAATTAAGTAAAATTTGAAAATCAATTTCTCAGTTGAGAATAGCTGCAGTGCCCAGCAGTTCTATGTGGCTATTTGGCAACTGTACTGAACAGCATGGATCTGAAACACACCAGCATGCAAAGTGTGTGACCAGACAGCGCTGTTGCAGACACATCAACAGCCACGAAGTCTACTGCTACATTTGCAAGTCACAAATAGAATATAATTCTTTTAACTGGACAAGATTAAAATCTTTAGCTGAGATTCAAAAAGGGTATGATGCCAATTTAAAAACAGGCTTTTCCTGGGCCATGGCAGCAGCTCAGTGATGGAGCACTCGCCTAGCATATGTAAGTCACTGAGTTCAATCCTCAGTAACACATAAAAAATAATAAATAAAATAAAGGTAGTTAAAAAAATAAAATAGGCTTTTCCTGAATCTGCTTTCAAACGTGGATATCATTTAAACTTCCCAAGTCATTCAAGAATAATCTGGCCTATAAAAGTGTTTGGAATTAAAGTTAATGAAAACACAGTAGTTAGATTAATGAAAGACTACTGAACTTAAAAGATCCAAGAAAAAGATGAGATGAAATAAATGGAGACTGAACGTCAGAAGAGTCTTCACACCTGGAACTAGATCTAAGCCTCAGGTGATGGACTTGCTCTGGAATTGAAATGTTTGAACAAGTCATTGAAAGGAAAATATCCCTCTAACTGCCCCAGCATGTTACTGGGCAATTTACCAGCCAATTACTTCCCTAATAATTTCAATAAGTTTTACCTGAGATACTCAGTAATTAAGATTACTCAAACACCAGGCATTGGTGAACTTACCTCTAAATCAGTTCCTGCCAGAGTAGCTCCTCTGAGGTTACAGTTCTTCAACTTTGCATTTTTTAAGGTAGCAACTCTCAGGTTAATTCCTGTCATTTGACTTCCTTCCATATCTACACCTTTCAGATTAGCACCTACAGTGAACATATTTGGAGAGCAGTTTAACTTTAAAAATATGTCTAATTATCTACCTTCAACAAACTGCAAGATGATTAGAGGATAAATGAGGATGGTCTTCTTATACTTTTGGAAATGAACCTCAAGTGTCATTCTCAACTGGCTTACACATGTGAAAAATTCAATGCCAGCAACTTGTTTGCTTACAGCATGAATTAAGAATGTTTCATAGGTATTTCTGAGGGGAGAAATAAATCTTACAGGTGGACACAATATATTTTTTTTAATTTTTATGTGGTGCTGAGGATCGAACACAGTGCCTCATGCATGCTAGGTGAGTGCTCTACCACTGAGGCACAACCCCAGCCCAAGCAATCAATCTTATCTTAGGTGGTTAGCACTTTTATACCACCATAAATTGTTCATGACATGGAAGATAAAAATGTGTTTCCTAAAAATACAAGTGAACAACACGCCCAATTCACAAACCCAACAAAGCAATAATGAATTATTAAAAACTGACAAAAAAAATTTGGCGTTTTGCAAACTGAAATTCTTCCTGTTAGTCAATATAAGAGTATTTAATTCTACTTGAGGGTTAAGATGTTGATATTTAATTGTCCAACTTGAAGCCTCATTAACTATTTCAGGCTTTATCTCTGAGTCCTCAAGTTTGGTTTGCATATGACTAAGACCAAGGAAGCAACTGACCCTTTGCAATCTCTGCAAATACAACAGCAGATAAAACCTGTCCCCTACTCTTTTCTTTTCGACCCTTAGCAATGATTTCCTGGAGCTTTTTACTTTCTGGTCTGCTTTCACCCTGGAACAGATATTTACAGATAAGATCTCACCTTCTAAATTGGCTTTAAGACCAGAAGGATCCTCAAAATTACACAGTTTCAGGGATGCACCTTCTGCATTAGAACAAAGCATCTTGACTCCCTGGAGATTTGCACACTGCAAAGAAAAAAGTCCTGGTTTTTAAGGTTCATGATTTTAGTCCCATTGGTGTAAACAGTAAAAGAAAAAACTAGGAGGGGGGGGCGGGAAGCTCAATTCAACACATTTGCAATTATTTTTGTTTACTATGAAGACTCTTTTAATGAAACACAATAAGAATTGAGGATGTTTTAAAGAAACATTTCTTTTAGAAGAATTGTTTTAAAAGAGAAACATGCCAAATAGACAGTACCATGCTCACTTTACATGAAAAGGGTTTAAATAAAGAACCCACGCAGTCAGAACTATAACACTCTATTCCTATTTGTATCAACAGCCTTGAGCATGACCATATGACTAAATGTATGACTAAGAAGGCAGAAATTTAGGAGGGGTATGGATTTTCTCTTATCACTGTAGAAATCAAGAAATGAACTTCTTGATTGTTTAAGAGGCTACTATCACTTTCATTTCAAAGGCCAGAATACAAATGCCATCAACTAAAGGGATTAATTAGCAACAACACACTAACAAGTCACTGCTCTGGTCTTTCTGTACCAACCATGGCTGCAAGATACTGTCAGCTCCAGCGCTCACACCACAATGCAGAGAGTAAAAAGTTAAAAAATAAACACGTGAGTTTTAAATTGTAAATTCGTCTTAAAGAGTTCATGCCATTAGATCTGAACTCTAGGAACTACTAGATAAGCCAGGAAGCTCATCTACAAAGTTGATGTTAACATGAGACCTTCACAAATTATAATTATCAAAATGGAAGCTGAATGTGAAACTGTTTGAAAAACTGTAAGGCAAAAGCTGGGTGTAGATCAGGGTGCCCTGGTGCATGCCTGTAGTCCCAGCAGCTTGAGAGGGTGAGGCAGGAGGAGGATTGCAAGTTCAAAGTCAGCCTCAGCAACTCAGTGAGACCTGTCTCTAAATAAAATACAAAACAGGGCTGGGGATGTGGCTCAGTGGTCAAGTGCCCCTGAATTCAATCCCAAGTAAATTGCTGAGGCTGGCCTTGAACTTGTGCTCCCCTTACCCCAGCCTCCCGAGTTACTGGGGTTATAGCTCCGAGCCACCATCTGGCCAAAAATACCAGTTTTGATAGATTTAGGATACTATATTGAGATCAGGATCTAATTTTAAGAGTTCATTTTTATTGTTTGCTAAACCTTTCAGATCTATGTACATAAAGGATATCAAAGTTATGAAAAACAACCCATTCCACTTTTAGAGTGAGTCTTCAGCTTTATCATCAACATAGTAAATGATCTGTCTACTATTTAAAAAGCTCCAATAAGACACAGATAGAACTCCTGTTCTTTGAGATTGCTCAGTAACCTAAAATTTTAATTTTCCTCATAACCAAAAATGATTCTTACATCAAGCACTGATCCGGAAAGATCAGCTCGTTCAAGATTAGCACAGCAGAGATTTGCATGTGCAAGGTTGCAGCGGCTTAAGTTGGCCATTTTGAAATTAATGTATCGAAGGTCCAAACGAGAAAGATCAGCACCACTGAAGTTTAAACCCTGAAATTAAAAAGCACAAACTGTCATAATGCTTAAGCCATCTGTTTGTATTGAATGTAATTACTAGAGCTAACCACCAACTCTTTTAGAAGCAATTGGTGGTTCAGTCACTTGGAATTTATTACAAAGCATGAACAAATGAAACTTGGATACATAAAGTATGTATATGTCCTTAATGGGTTCCTTGTAAAAGAAGTTTTATCTATATGTGAATTAGGATATGGCCTGACTATACTTCCTTTATGTGCCGGACATCCTTCTTAGTAATGTATCTGCTGGTAAGTGTTATTTTAGTTCAACTTGATTATTTGTAACTAAATTATTTTATTAATTCAAGAATTCAAGACAGTTTTATTAAGAAAAAAATGGGCACTGTGATTTTCAAAATCTATAATGCTACACTACACAAAAGTCAAAGTGTCTGCCACAGACCAGCCATACGTAGCAACTGTGCCAATAACTTGTTAAAAATTGCTGCATTTTCCATGTTTACTCAAGAACTACTACATAAGGCATAATTAGACAATAAGAAAACTACTGCATCTCTTTTCTGCTAATCATTTTGAAATTAAATCAAGGCTATGACCCATAATTGCATTTCATTCTTGCATAATAAAGGAAAATAAGCAAAACAAAACAAAAATGAACCACAGAATGTAAAATTTTATTCACAAACTAGATAATACAAATAAGTCATGTTAAAATCTACTTTAATTACCTGGCAACGTAATTCTGACTTGGTTGGAGTTGCTAGCAGAAATCGAACAAATTCCTTTCGGGATATTGGTGAATGATCCTCCGGTGGTTGGGAGTTCTTGAAACAGGTATTAAAAAATTAGTGGGGCCTTTTGGGCAATACCTACAATAAATGTAATACTAGCCATGGTAAAAAGAACCTCACCTTTATTGCTACTTCTAGGTGTTCAATCAGTGAGTCAATACCAAAAAATCTGGCTTCTTCTAATACACCTATCAGAACAAAGGATGTGACTTTTATGATCACAATTCATTTTGATATTTATAGAATTCTTTGTTACATTCTCATGATGAGACTGAAATTCAACAAGTAGAGTGTTAGTCAATAGTAGACACGTAACTAATGTTTAGAATGTACACATAGAATACTGAAAAATATTTCTGATACAGATTTTTCTGTGAAAGAAAATAGAAAATAAATCACAACAAAGCCTTCCATATTTCAGTTATTTCTGATAATTGCTTTAAGTGGGTCACAAACAAGAAATGTTAACACTACCTATTCCTATAAGAGTTGATTTAGTGATTTCATTATGAACATAATAAAAAATGATCAGTTCGCTTAACTCCTTTTTAATGGAGTGAATCTGATTAGGTTTTCCACAAATATATTTAACTTAATCAAAAAATGAATGTGAATGAAGTTTAAATCAGTTTCACAATGAAAGTCAAAAGTATAATTGAGGGGGCTGTGGCTGTCTGTGGCTGTGTTCAGCAGTAACCTAGCATGTGTGAGGCACTGGATTCGATTCTCAGCATCACATATAAATAAAAAAAGTAAAGGTCTATCAACAACTAAAAAAATAAAAACTAAAAAAAAAAAAAAAAAGTCTAATTCAGAAAATTTTTTACACCAAAATAAAAAATTTAAAGATATTTCTAAATGGCAAAAGGAATTTCACCTATCACTTGCTTTAATTAACTTGGTTAAAAAAAAAAAAAAAAAAGGAACCCATTCAGACATCCTTTAGGTATCTTGATATGCTTCCTGTCTCTCTTCAGAGTATGCAGGAGGAAATCTGGGACTCACTTTCTTTCAAATAAAGACTCAGAGAGTCAGTTGGCTGAGTCCACTTGTTTAAAAAAACCACTAGGGACTCAGAAATGACAAAGAAAGTAAGAGACATAATCCTTCCCCTCAAACAATTCTAAACTTGTAAAGAAAACAGTAAGCAGTTACTTGGGAAGAAGAAAATGATCTTTTCTAGTGAAACCAAATTTCATCTCCAGTAATCCAATTGCAAAATAAAGGTCATTGATGGCCAGTATACCACTCAGGGAACTCCCTGACACCTGCTCTCCTGTCCATGCCAGGCCGGTTCCCTCTCCAGCTTCCTCCTGAAGAAAATAGAGTATTTGCCCCTGGGAGAAGCCCACCTTAAAGAAGTTCTAGTGGGCCTTGTTATCAGTTTGCCAAGATCATCTGGGCAAATCAGAACCTCTCAGGGAATGTGGTATGTATGCACTTCTAATTTGACATTTAGAATTACTCATGAAAACTTCCAGAAACGCCTTATAAATATAAAACCTATACATGTAGCCTTGAGAAAAGGGAGTGATATTCAGTATATTTTCTGTTAGTACCAATTAAACTTGGATTTGAATTCCAACTCTGCCTCTCACTACATTTTTTTTTTTTTTAAGTTGTAGATGGACACAATACCTTTATTTATTTACCTTTATGTGGATTTGAGGATGGAACCCAGTGCCTTACCCGTGCTAGGTGAATGCTCTACCACTGAGCTATGACCCCAGCCCACCTCACTACCTTTTGGTTTCAAGAAAATTACTACAGATTATTTTTAAATCATTTACTTACTTAGGAGAACCTGTAGGCAATGTTCAAGAGAAACTAAACTAATTAAAAACAACATTTTATAAAATGAATCTAGTAGAAAGCTGATTGCTGGACAAATAAATAAATATGAGAAATAGTTGGAAAACACGAGAAAGGAAAAACAAGCAAATCTTGGTAATAGATTGTAGAAATCTAAGATAGAATGCTATTTTTCTAATCTGAGAGGATACAAAATGCTATCAATCAATAATATAAGGGAAAAATTAAAATGAGAGGAATAAGAGCTCACAGGAAAGCTGAAGTTATGTTTAAAATGAACCCAGGGAAGTAGCCATCGGAGAGAAAAGCTGAAGAATGATGCAGGTATCAAAAAGAAAAAGACTTATATAATATGGATCATTGGCTATGTTTATAATGATGTATGCAGAATGAATATAACAACAACAACAAAAAATCAAGTTGGAAAACATTTAAAGCAACATTTGGTAATTTATTTTTATTATTTTTTTGGTACTAGGGATTGAACCAGAGGGGTCTACCACTGAACTATATCCACGGACCTTTTCGTTTTGAGACAGTGTCTAAGTTGCTGAGGCTGACTTTGAACTTGCAATCTTCCTAATTCAGCCTCCCAAATTGCTGGGATTATAGATGTGTACCATCCTACCCGATAGTTAAAAAAAAAATTTTTAAGCAAGAACAATTTACTTCAGAACAATTATGGACCTCCCCGAGAGTGTCCAATATATCATTTTGTTGCAATGGGTTCATTTTAAAGTGAATATTATAAAGTTTAATATAGAAACATTGAAAGTCACTGAGTGTTTGGAATTACACTACAGAGATTATAAACCAGCAGTCCTCAAGCTGATTCTGATGCATTGAGCATGTAGCATTTCAAAAATCAGATAATTTGACATAAAATTTTAGATTTTATTCCAGTGTTTCTTTAAAAAAATATCAAGGCTCTGGCACCCTAAGTCCATATTCATATATGGTAAAAATTTGCTAAAGCTAAACCGCCACACTTCCTAAGTACTAACATCAGGCCAAATTCAGTCACTGGAGGGTGCTATGATTTAGATGGTGATGACCCTAAAAGTCTGTATGTAAAGGCTTGTTCCTAAGGTGGCAGAATTGGAGTAACTGTGGACCTTTATGAGAGAGCCTAATGAGAGAGCCTTAGGTCACTGGGGGCAGGTCCTCAAAGGGGATTGCGGGATTGTGGGAAACCACTCCAGTCTCTCTCTCTCTCTCTGCTAGGTTTGAGATGTGACTATTTGCTCCTACATATGTTTCAGGAGGATGTACCACCAACTGCCACCCTTACCAGAGGACAAAGCAATGTGGCCCACCTGATCTTAGATGTTGAACCTCTAAAACTTTGAGCTAAATTAACTTTTCCTAGGTTATCTGCATCAGGTATGTTGTTACAGTAACATAAAACTTATTGATAGAAAGGCCTATAAGCTTTCAAATATGCAATCACTACTTTACTTTAAAAGTAGTGATTATTATAAGATCAACAAAATACATTGTCTATATCATTTTCATGAACCTTCACAAAATTTTTGTAATGTAGAAAGGCTGAAAGAATTTTAATCCCATTTTTCAAAAGGGACTCAGACTTTCCCTCAAGTTAATTTTAGAATTTAAAATTAAAATATATGGATTAGATATACCTATATAAACAAACACTACAGACCTGAAAGACTACCTATGTCAGTACCTATTTCTGTAACTATAAATATTCATATATGTGAAAACTTACAGTTGAAAATGTAGAAAAGATATATTTCACTCTATGAAAATAGACATTACTAATGGAAAACAAAATAAAAATCTCAATTTTAAAGAATGTGAGGAATTATGCTGACTACTCACCCAATAAGTTAATGCCATCATTTACAATAAGCTGTCCATGACGCAAGTAGTTCAAAATGGGTTCAAAGTACTCAGGACTTCGGTCGATTAAGAAAGCTCCTCTATGATCTTGCTTATTTCCCCAGACACCTGTGTTAACATTATAATGAAGAAAGCCCCCCATAAGCAAACAATAAAGTTAAAATTCATGGAAGAAAAATTATATAATATACCAGCAAGTTTTACTCCAATGAAAATTGTTGATACCACTAAAAGTACAGAAGGCCAGCAGTTGTAAGGTCAACACATACAAATAGAACACACAAAATGTGAAAACAATGTGTTATACTCACCTTTGTCCTTAAACATGTGGGCCAGCATACTGTCAGGTTCTTTATTCACTAAAGTGCTCCTAAGAAGTCAGGGAAAAAAATTGATTTCTCCATGTGTCTTTATAAACAAACATATTTAAGTCAAGAGCATACTTGATTTCAGCTGTTCTTTCAAAAAGATGCATGCTATAACCTGGGAGGAGTAATGCTGGGAAACAAAAACGTGCAATAAGTTGCCATTTATTAAACTCCCTTCCAATCTGGTACTTCCTCTGATTTAAATATGGTTTTAGTTTCTTTCAATTTACATGCTATCTAATCTTCTAGCAAGACATTATATCACAATATTCTAGATGTTCTACACTTAGATTTTTCTGATCTCTTCAATATAAGTAGTTGTAGTCCTACAGATTTTAATGCTATCAGTTTTAATTTGCATTGCCTGTGTATCACTGATATCTAAAAAGCATGTTCTAAAACACTGAAATCATGCTTTTAATGCTTTCTCTGGAATGATATATGTACTATGTTTTACTTTTTTCTTCAAAATAAGTTCTAGAAAAAGATTCTAGGGCTGGGGATGTGGCTCAAGCGGTAGCGCGCTCGCCTGGCATGCGTGCGGCCCGGGTTCGATCCTCAGCACCACATACAAACAAAGATGTTGTGTCCGCCAAATACTAAAAAATAAATATTAAAAAAAAATTCTCTCTCTCTCTACCTCTATCTCTCTCACTCGCTCTTTAAAAAAAAAAAAAGATTCTATATCAAATTAGAATATCTTTTAAGGGAATCAGCAAATTGAAGGAAAAAACAAACAGTACCTTCAGTCCCTTTCACGCAAATGTGCGCGCGCAACACACACAAACACACACACACCCCACACATAGACCCCACCTACCGTGTAGTTGTAAAGTACCGCCCTCCAACATTTAATGTTAGCCAGTCTGTGTGAGATCCTAATAATCCTTCAGGTGGCTTAGAATCTGTCTGAGGATCTAGAGATGATGTAGAAAATAACAATAATATTAAGACTGGCGATTCTGGATGATGACGATGGTATAACTTTTCAAATTAAATCTACCATTAAAGTACACCAGAGTTCCTAGGTCAGCAAAACCCTAACCCATAGGCAGCACTAAAACAAAAGTAGGTGATGAAGTATTCTAACCAGTATGTACAGCTCTAAGGACAGCATGTTATCAGTGTCTGTGAAGGAAAAAGTAGAGAGAAGCTACAGGGTACACTATGAACCCAAGACTCCCAAAGTGAACCGGAAGTGCTGGCTGCGCAGCTCAAGAAGTCTATTCGAGAACAGCCAACTCAAAGTAGGACAGGCGATGCAAGTAGTTTGCGGTGAGACCTGAAAGGGCCGGGAATTATGTCTCAAAACCAAAGCTCCCTTCTAAGGACACAGGCTCACATGACAACAAGAAGCAGGGGAAGAATTTAAGCTGAATAAAACAAAGACAACAGAAACCAAAGAAAGAGCAGCCCACTAAAGTTACGAAGGCCTAATAGACCAGAACATATGTAGAAAATGAGTCCCATATTTTTTAACACTTCACAAAACAACAAGAGAAAAGGGAAGTCTAGAGCCAAATAATAAGAAAAACTTTGTTAGGTCAGCTCTCCCTTCTTAAGTTAAGGACAACTAATTTCATGTAAAAATGAGCAACAGATAAGGATGAGATCAGATCCAAACAAGAGTATTAAAGAAAGAATCGTATTCCTAAAGATAAAACATGCCAGAAAGAAAGACTTATGATAGATAAAAACTCTAACCTAATATTCTAAAACATACTAATAGAAATAAATAAAAGTATGAAATAACAACACAGAATTATAACATTCAGAAAGGAACTAAGGAGTGAATTAGAAATAAAAGAAAAACCCTTTCAGAAAAGAAGACTAAACTAGATGAAACACAAAGTAAATAAATACAACAGATAATGTCTTTAGGGGGAAAAAAGGTAAAAAGAAATAGCTTTAAAATAAAAAAAAAAAAGAAAGAAAGAGGTGGAAGGATTTATAACAGAAAGCTTCAGATACAAAAGACAAGTATAGAAGATCCAATGTACATACAAAAAAGTTCTGAAAGAAGAAAATCAAAGCAAGAAGACAAAATGCATAAAGTTCAAGAACACTTTTCTCAGATTAAAACTATACACACTTGACACCACATATTAAAAGGACTGCATACCTGAGAAAAATCAACCCAGAACCACCCAGAAGGCCATGAAATATTCTATTAAAATACTGTAAAGAAGGAAAAATTCTCTGGTGATCTAGTAAAAATAATTACTTAAGGAAGATTGGTTTTTTTGATGCCAAAACTTTGTGCCAGAATGAAACTGAGTAATATATTTAAGGTATTCAAATAAAGATGTAAAGCAAGGATTCTTCAATAGCTTCACTAAGATAAAATGACACAAAAGAAACTATAGAAGCTTGAAGTTTATAATTTGATAAACTCTGATATGATTTTACATCTGACTTTCAAATTCAGAAGCACTCAGGGTATTAAATAAAGTACTCATTAAGGAATATTTACTTTACTTAAGCTTTAGGCTTTTTGAGGTCTTCATCTGTGTATACTGTCTTCCAAATCAAAAGGTAGGTAGGTGTATGTGCCTCTGTGTGGCTTATGTCACATTTTGACTGATTTAATTTAATCGGTAGTGAAGGACTGTCAAGCAATATATGCTGACAAAGATGTGACACAACACTCCAGAGAAATTTTGACAACTACAATGAAAAAGAAAATCTTAAAATACTTGTAATTTCTAAAATCAAAATTACCCTACTATGTCACCGTTATCAAATATGTACAAGTCCAGGGCACTTTAAAGGCAGGTAAATGATTAAGTATCCATACTAAAATATGATCATAAAGATGAACATTAATATATATTATATACCCAAAAGCGGAATCAAAGAATGTGAAGATCTTAGTATAGCCACAACATTCTTCTTCTTCTTTTTTTTTTTCACAACATTCTTCTTAATTTTAAGCTTTACAGTTCTTGGTAAAATATTTACCATTTCATCTATTTTTATTTTGGCAGACAAAATTGGCTTTTAAGGAAATCACTTACCAATAAATGGCTCTCCTTCACACACAAACAAAACATCATCATCCCTGGGGAAATCAAAATTTAAGAAGCTACCATCAAAATCTAGAAATAACATTAATTATCTGTTGACTAAGGAACTATTCCTTGAAATTCTATCAAAGACAGGTTTTGCTATCAATCTACCCTGAGAAAAAGCTAAGTTTTGAGTGCTTTGGTTAACTCCCTAACTTAAATGTCTCTGGTTTTAAATTCAAATGAGATCCTGTTCATGGAAGTTTTTTGAAATAGAAAAAAAAAAACAAAACAAAACTAATCCCATCACACAAGTTGTGAATCTGGCTTTCTTATTAACTGAAGAATGTGCTATTATGCTCAAAGGATATGATTAAAGTCATAGTCAATTTCTTCTAATTTTAATTCTTTACCCCTAAATAAATTATTGGAATTCTCTCCCAAATCATTATTAGCTGCTGTGTGCTTTGCAAATAAAAATACATTTTCATATTAAATCCAGGAAAAATACATTTGAAGTCACTGCTATAACCACTCACCCACTACACACCCAAACACAAATGATCACATATAACCTAAAACTGTAGACTATCAGTGTATATCCTCCTCTCCTGCCATCCATCCCACCATTAGTATAAATAAATGATCAGAGACCCTACTATGAACCAGAAACCAGTAAACAGCTAGCTCTGAAGGCTTCAGTAATATTCTTTGAATTACAGACATTACAGGACATTATAGAACACATTGGTTTTTTTCTTAGAATCAGAATTTGTGTTTGAAAATTAGATTGATATATAGACCATTCAATGATGTTCCTCAATTTTCTACTGAAATGAAAGATAGGCTGGGAGAGAGATGTTGAAAAACGAAAAAATTCTCCTAATGTGCTTATATATTATAGTTTATAATATACTACTTGTGCATGATGTCAGTTAATTTTTTTTTAGATTAATGTGAAAGTTTGTTTTTGTTAACAAAAATCAACTATGAAACTCTACGCCCTGGATAAAGCAGAAGCTTAAAGTTTCCTTGTTATTAAATGAAGGAACTAGAACTGATTGATTTTTAAAGGCAGTACACTACATTGAAAGGTCATTCTGGCCTGGATTAACTTTATATACAACTATAATTTAGAACATCATTATCTCCACACCATCAATTAAAAAAAGAAATCCTTATCCTTTGCAAACTAAATGGGATAATTCAGGCAAGTCAATTACAACATAACCGGCATATTCAGTACTTGTGTTCTTTTTACTTTTGTTTGTTTGGTTAAATCTCTTCCTCCCCCAAAATTCACTGACCTTTTGAAGAAGGAATGCAATGAACTTTACACTTATTTTTAAGAGAGGATTTGCTTGGGATATTTAAAAAATAAAAAACAAGCCAGAAAAGTACTACTGTTGTGGGCCTCTGATGCTATCTCTACCTAGAATTCTATTACATTTAGTAAGTGTTATAAAATTAGGTCTGTGATATTTATAAAATTCAAAGCATTCTTAGGAAATAAATTTAGCAATAAGCAGTTGCATATAAAAGAGATCAATTTGATTTTTAAAACTAAAAACTGCATGTCTTATTGGGTTTTATCTCAAGTACCACAAAGAAGACATCCTCATACTCATATATGAACTATGCAGAAAGACTATCAACATGCTGAAATATACTAAAGAGTCAATTCTAGACAATCACTTGCCAAATCCTGTCTTCATCACCAAATCCTGTAGTGATGAAAATACAGCTTAAGGGAAACAGCACAGCACCAAGAAGCTGAGGGCCCGTGTTGACAGATTATTAAAAGGTGTAGGTTACCTGATCAAAGCAATATCATCAATCAGTCCACCTTTCCCATTATACACACTGGTGGCTTTTATGCCGAGTTTACTGCTGGCCACAGAAAGCAAATCAGATAAAGTTCCATATACAGCAACCACCTGTAAACACACCAGATTAATTTCAACAACTTATACAATTAATTTCATCACCCACAAATTACAAACCATCACACTATAAATAGGACTAAAAATATCAGATTATCATATAAAAGGAGATTTCAAGGGGTTCTTAATAGCGTCCCTTTCTCTTTTATGACTCATGAATTTACTCAGTGCCTCACACTGTAGAAAACCAAAATTAGAGAATACAGAATCACCACTGACCAAAAACAATCTATAGTCTTAAATACAGTGCTGTTCCAGTTCCAAAGGTAGAATTGTGCTTAAATCCAAATTCTGACATTGTCTGTCACCTTGAGACAAACTATATTTCTGTTGCTTTAACTGATAATGAAAAAAACAGTAACATCTCAGAAAGTTGAAACTGAAGTGAGCTCAAGAATATAAGGGCTTAGCAAAGTGGCCGAGATCTCTGTGCCTGTGACTATGCACCTCAAGTCTTTCGTGTTCTGATATTATTCCTTTTTATAGGAATGATTCATTTTTAGAGTAGGAATAACTTAATAGTTTATTATGTCCTTTAATATATCAATTATCATAGGAAAGGTAACAATTTCCCACTTTTCAGCTCTTCAATAACTATTTATATTCATTGCTTTGTAAAAGCCACATTGTAGCATGTAACATTCTGAATACAACAGCTGGGTGACAACCACTGTCTTTAAACAAGACAGCTGCCACTGCTTAAGCAGGGGCCTGGGAATCCCTTCATGTAAATGAATTCTGTGCTCTGGTCACCATTGTAAACCTGGGTTCCTAATCACTGAGCCACATGGTTGTAGTGTTACCAGACAAGGACCTCTGAAGTTAGGAATGAAAAGCAGGTGAGGTGCTGCACACAGAACACAAGCACCTGACTGGCTTTCCATGAACATATACAAATGTAAAAATGCCACATGAAATGAGGACCCATGATGTTCCTGCCCACCAGGGACTGGAGCAGACAAGTTTAGTTAAATAAATGGATAGCAAGGCATGGAGGGAGGTGCTCCCTAACACAGCAGCGTGCAATCTTGCAAAAGCAGAGCACTCAGATTCCAGCTCTTTTCTGTTGGACCTGGATGTGGGCTGGAAGAGAGCTATCAGGAGGGGTACTTGGGAAAGGGCTGAAGGCAAGCACAATCGCAAGGAAATGAGGCCAACTATAAAAAACAATGCACAACCCAAGTGTCCATAGATGACAGAATAACCAAAATGTGGTATATAATACATACAATGGAATATTATTCAGCTAAAAGGGAATGAAATTCTGATGTGTGCCACAGCAAGAATGAGGCCTGAAAACATTATGCTAGATGAAATAGGCCAGATACATAAAAGGACAAATATGATGCCACTTATATAAAGGTACAACTGGCAAAATCACAGGAACAAAAAGTAGACTAGAAGTTACCACAGCAGAAATGGGAATGGAGAATTACTGATATGCCTAATTTCTGCTTGGGATAATGAAAAGTTCTGGAAATAAACAGTGATGGTCACAGACACTGTGAATGTTACTTACTCAACACTAATTAATTATATACTTAAAAATGTTTAACATGGAAAACTCTTATACGTTACCATGATGGAAAATATAATGTAAAGCCCTTGGTAGAGTATCTTACACACAGAAGGCATGTCATAAATAACTGAAGCCTAAATAAAATGTCCCCTAATTTTGTATCATCATTCTCCTCTGCAACAGAGCCTATTATTGCATATTCTGGGGAGAAAAGGAAGACAATATAGTACATATGGCATTATGTACAGCAAATCTGGTTGTGCTAAGGCAAAGAACGTGAAGAGAAAGAACAAAGTAAGAGGTTGCCAAAGCAGATGCACAATGATTTTATATCAAGATATTATTAGGGGAGGGTAGGGGGCTCCTCTCCAACATCCAACATTCTGGTCGTGGTTGCTAGAATTTTCTAAATCTTCTCTTCTTCCTCTTATTTACCTCTGTATTTTATATATTTCTACATAGCTTTCTTTTGCCTGATATTCCCTCCTTGCCCTAATGTTAACTTCCTCTCTCAGAATTTTCTTTGCTTCTATTGGTCACACTATAAATGGATCCAAGATTAATGCACCTGTCTATATTAAACATCTGTACTTAAGTATTAGAGCTTAAGATTTTGACTTATTTTTCTAATTAAATTAAATTGTTGTCCATGTGAGCTTCCTGTGATCTGATTCTAATAAAAAATAAAGGCCATTTGCTACATTCTAATGCTGCACTTTTTAATGCAAAAGCCTTAGGCTACACAGGAATATTAAAATGTTGATTCATTAAGGTGAATTAAAATCTAAAAATGCAGTTCATTCCTTCCTAAGCATATTTCAAGTGCTTTACTACTACCACAATGGCTACTGTCACCATGTTAAGCATGACAGTATGAAATACTTCCATCACAGAAGTTCTATTGGACAGTGCTAAAGACTAGAAAAAAAGAACAAAGTAACATCTATTTTAATTCTATTAGGTTTTTCTCATGAAATAGCAACTGACAGTAACAAATTGAGGAGAGGTGTGTTGCTATCTTTTGTTTCTTCCCCATAATGTCAAATCTGACTCTGTGATAGAAAAACCCACATATATTGTTTGATAAGGACTAGTCTCAAGCTAATCAAAAGCTCCATAGGTATTCCCTTGCAAGTTGGAAAACTGTTAAGGAGTCAAGGTAAGAACTGAGTTCAACTTTTATCACATAATCAATTCGAAAACAGAATTAAACATAATTATTTTACCAATTATTTTCTGACTTTATATATAAAGTTTCAATGAAGTAGTTTAAATTTGTAAAAAGTTGCTATTAATTTTGTGAATACAGGTAACCAAATGTTACCAGGTAAAGTAGTTGAATACATTCCCAGAGCAACTCTAATCTCTGAAATCAAAATAAGTGCTGCCAGTTTAAATCCAAGAACAGGTTTAGTCAAATGTTACATTACTTGATTTAAGGTAGGTCTCTGACAAGTGTTTCTTGAATGTTGAGTGAAATTCCATTACTATCAAAGTGTTGAACTAGAACACACCTTTTTTTAATGTGTCAGTTATTTTTCTTTAGTGGCATTAAGTTGCAAAACAAAGCATACAATGTTAGTGCAATTTTAGAGTAATATTCTTACAACTATTAAAGGTGGGGATCTATGAATAAACGAATTTTGGCTTATTTTGGTGAGATTTTTTTTCTCCAAATTTGTTACAATGAACCTGTATTACTGATACGGAAAGGGGAAAACATTTTATTTTAATGTCTCCAATGCTTTAGACACTAGTTTTACAAATAAGATGATTTTAGTAGTTGACAGTCTGGCAGTTGACAACTTCTTTTAAGTGGAATAACCAAAGGGTTGTCAATTAGAGGAAACGAAATAAATATGAAGAACCTTACAGTTCCATAAATTGTAAAACTTTCCATAACTTGGTCTAACTGTACTTGTTTTTCACTTGGAAGTCTATACTTGGGATTTGTTTTTCAACTAGAATCATTCATGCATACTGACACCAGAGTTAGATGACACATCTAAGATCAAGAACGGAAGTATTAAAAATTGAAAATTCTGATAATGCCAAGTGTTGGAGTGGATTTGAATCAATGGTAATGTGCATACATTCTAAATAAAAAGGAAGTACATTGTAATACCAACAATATTAAATATTAAGAATATTACTAAAATTAACAGGTAATTGGATTTTTAAACATATATCAACATACAAAAGTGATACACAAGAATGGGGTTTTTAAGTTACTAGAGATCAAATGGAGCGGTAACATGTACATTTCTTTATATAATAACTGTGTTAGGAAAAAGCAATGGAAATCTTGTATATCAAGGATGTAACTGCTAACAGATATATATAGGCTGAATATCCCTTATCCAAAATGCCTGAGACCAGAAGTGGTTTAGATTTTTTATTTTTTAAAAATGTTTTATTTATCTATTTATTTGAATTTTGGAATATTTGCATAGATTTTAAGGTTTCACTAATCTGAAAATGTGAAATCTGAAATGTTTCAAATTTTAGATAGGAATGTTCAATTTGTACTTATCTTATTTTAGTATTCATACTAAGCCAAAGAGAGGCCAAGCACTCAAAAAAATGATCTTGCTTATAAAGATTATTTGCTTCCAGAGTATAATATTCCTCATCATGAACCATGTCACCGACTGGCTCCTTAAATACTTTAGACACTAAGAATCATTCTTGTGGAATAGAGTAAATTGAGAAGTATGTTAATTCAACTTTATGATGACCATATTACTCTACTATTTAGACTTAATCCTTTCTAAATTTCAGATCCCATGACAAGTGAAAGTTATCTATCAGTTGGGAAAGTAAATGGTACACCATGACTAGCTGCCCTGGCTAGTTTTAATTTTCCTTTAAAAACCACTTTCAGGGCTAGGGACATAGCTCAATTGGTAGAGTGCTTGCCTCTCATGCACAAAGCCTTGGGTTCAATCATCAGCACCACAAAAAACAAAAAACCACTTTCAAATGCAACATTTAAAAGTTAAAACCTGCACATGTTTAAAGTTTTTTTCTTATACCCCAAAATGTAATATACATAATACACAATTAATTAAATTCATGCATGATTCTCAACCAAAGCACCAATTATAATTCAAAACTAAAATGCAGAACTCAATTTACTCTAACTACACTTTTTGCAGTTAAAAAACAAAATGATTTTGTTCTAAAATGATGACATATCTAACTCTAAGATCAAGAAGGGGAATATTAAAATTGAAAATTCTAGTGCCAGGCACGGTAGCACACCCCTGTAATTTCAGTGGCTTGGGAGGCTGAGACAGGTGGATCGTGAGTTCAAAGCCAGCCTCAGCAATGACAAGGCGCTAAGCAACTCAGTGAGACCGTCTCTAAATAAAATACAAAATAGAGCTGGGGATGTGGCTCAGTGGTTGAGTGCCCCCCGCCCCCAGTACCCAATCCCCAGTACCTCCCAAAAGAAAAATAAAATAAAAATTCTGATAATACCAAGTGTTGGAGTGGATGTGAATCCATGGTAGAATGTATGCATTACTGATGGGAATATAAATGACCACAATGATTGAAAAACAATTTGGTATTTTTTTTTTAAAACCGAACATTTGCATACCTCAATACCTGGTAATTACAACTTCACATATACACTATAGCATTAGAGTAGTGGTTCTAAGAGGCAGGATCTGGACACCTGTAATGTTATAAATTTCTGAAGATCTGATGAAACAAATACTTAACCCAACCCCATATCTTCAGGGGATGGAGTCTGGCAATATGTTTTATCATGCCCTCCTGGAGATTCTGATGCATGGCACTACTGCCCCAGAAAATGTTTGCTTATGTGCAGCAGGAGACAAATACAGGAATATTCAGGGCAGCATTGCTAAGAGTAAAATACAAAGACCAAAACCAAACAACCATTGATGGGAGAGTGGAAAAATTATGGTATTCTTTTAAAATATAATGAATTTCAATAAAGCAGTGCAAATGAATATATCACTCATAGAAGATTACACATAGAACGTCAGAAATATATTGAATGAAAACATCCAGTTGCCAAAGACTTCATAAAGATATCAACTTGAAATACAATATATCTAAAAGCTGACAACAAAAATTATATAGTTTCCGTATATATGTGGCAAAAAATACTGATTTTAAAAAGAAATAAAAAACAGCCAAGAGTAATACAAAATTCATGAAAATATCTGCCTTTATGGGAAAGGCAGGGGAATCGGGAAGAGGATGAGCACATCAAGTTGTTGGTCATACACTAGTTCTTGGGTTGTAATGGCAGGTTAATAGACATTTTGTTATATTTTCTTTTTAATCGTGTATATTAATATTCGTTATTGCATCCCTTTGTATATATAAATATATCATGAAATGTTTAAGCTTAAGAGTAATTCTCACAAAATTCTTATTAATGTTTAGATTTTCAGAGGTAAATGTTCACATATATTTTTACCTTTCCTGAGCTCTAATAGTGTAAAGGGTTCTCAAATCTGGATATATAATAACTTCAATGTATTTTGACCTAATACCAAAGCCAGAAGAAAACAGTTATTTCCTGGACCAACAAAGTAAACATCAGTACAGAATGCAGATGTTCCTATGCCTACTATGTCTTCAGTGTTTGGCGTGATGGTTCACACTCAAAAGGTATTCTGGTGTTATCTGAAAGAATGAAGGACTCCAGTATACCAAAGGATCATGATTTGCACAGTTTATTTTGAAGTATTTAAAATTTTCAGAAAAAGTATTTTGTGTTCAAGATGTGCATGAATGTAGAATGAACATCAGTTTGATCAGAAGTCACATACTACATTCAGATGTCTGAATCTTCATAACAATTTCCATAATGGTAACTCTTAAGGGGAATATTAAAGAGAAAATGGGTATTCTAAAGCATTTGGAGAAAAAGATGAAAGGTGCAAGCATAACTTTTGAGTGATTTAAAGACAACAATTTTTTAAAAACCCATAATTTAAAGATCCCAATTTTTAAAAACTATGAACTTCAAATATTTTTTATTCTGCAATCCATTGGTGAAACATTTTTGGGCATGTGGTCTAACATTTGTATATTTATTTACAAACTATATACTATTGTCAGAACATGTTTTCCCAAATAATCCCTGAAATAATATTTATCATTAAAGTAAGACTCTACTAAATACAAGGTTGACATTACATATTAATTTAAAAAAAAAAAAGGGAAAAAACAACAACAACAACAACAAAAACCCCTGAGGCCACTTGTCTTCATGTGATGGAAAATATTTTTAAATGTCTTCCTAATTAGAATGACCTCATACCATCACTAATATTTTAAAAACATACACCAAAAGACAGGTTGATTGTTAATACCAATTATTAAACCTGACCCCAATAGACTTTTTTAAAACTTCGAACTTTTTGACTTCTGAAATCCAAAGAGAATTTATGCTAGAAGACCAGCAACTCTGCCATTTTCTTCTTGTTTACTTGTACCTGCATAATTAATATTTCCTTCAGTTTGCAGTTTCTATGGAGGAATCTTTTAAAATCACTTGGCAATTTGGTGAGGATCAATGTATTTAAGACTATATGATATAAATGGCACTCATAATCTTCCTTATAATGTATGTCAGAGCAAACCCGTAAGTGAAGACATGTCTAGCTACAGGTCTTTCCACAAGGGAAGGCCTTTACTTTTTGCAGAAAACTTGAGATCAGGTGATGTGCTAAGTGTCTGAAGGCCTCTGTTAGTTTTTCCAGATTAGAAAAAAAATTTTTTTTTATTAAGTAAAAAAAATATAATAGATGTATTTCTTCCTAAATGCCAATGGATCATCTTGTACACCCTTGTGGTATACAATCCCACTCAGGAAACCAGTGTTAGAGAATGCAGAGTCCTCTCTTCAACATCAGAAACATTCATCAGTTACACTTACATTTATTTATACACAGAAAACCTGTGATGAGGCTATGGTGAATTACCCTGTGAAGAACTGTGTGCCTGCCCACACCCAGCTCCATGGCCACAGCCCCACAACTGCTATACCAGCTATAAGATGAAAACTTACTTGAAATAAAAGATTATACTTATGACCAGGAAATAAAAATAAAAACTAAGTAAATAAGGACATGTAAGTGAAATATATATTCCTATAGGTAGATGGAAAACTCTTATTTCAGTAGCACTTGGTTTCAGCATGTTCTAAATGAATATTTGTGTCATGTTCATGATAATCTCATTAGTCACTACATACATACACAAATGCAGGTTATTATGCATTATTCTGTTCTTTTGTCAAATAAGAGCCATAATAGTATTTTGTTATTATTAATCGGCTGAAGGAAGAAGAAACATGATAACTTTGGAGAATATGTTCTCTAGTTAATAAGGACTGCAGCACTGTTTCATTTTAATATTAAATCAAACTAGTACCCTATTTATATTTTTAAATCATCCTATTTAAATCAAATTAGTATTTTCCTATTTGGATTTTTATGATCTTTGTAACGTAAACATTTATCTGTGATTATCTGAGTTGCCTTTCTCCCAACAGTTTGAGATTCTTTGATAAAATATTTTTAAAGTAAAAAAAAATTAAACCCCCAAATCTATGCTAGTCAAAACTATGATAGCTTTAAAATAACAATATAAACAGATAAACCTAATTCTGATAACCAAAAAATTCAATGGATTCAAAGAAGATTTAGAACTTAGCTAAACATCTATGACTCAGTTTAAAAACTTTTTCATAGACTAACACCAGAGATAGTGGATAAAACAGTAAGAGGTTTGCCTTTGAGGCAAATTATCACTTTGGTTCTATCTTTCAATAACAACATAGATTTCAGATTAGGAATGCTACCTAACTACAAAACAGGTTTAAGGAACGTTAAGTTGTGAAGCACATTTTTGAGGTTTGGGAATTCAGGAACTTGACTTTACGCCAATGCTGTTTTGTATGAGTATTAAATCTCCAAGACCAGAACACAAAATTATAGTCAATAAATCCCACACTGTGGTTCAGAACATATTTACTCAAAACTGCAGAGTAGGTGGAAAAAACATTTTTTTTTAAATGTGCCTGGCCAGTTGTGCCATTTTAAAAATTATTGTTTTCAGAATGCTCAGAAATCAAAGTATACTGGGAATGAACAGAATGAGGCCAATTTACTTTTACCTCCAGTCTAAAGACTCAGCGGCTTCTGGGTGTCACTCAGCCACACAATAAACGCCTGCCTTGAACAGTCAAAATTTTCCAAAGAAGCTGAACAACTTTCATGGGTGGGGCAGGAGACTGAGAAGGAACAGGACTCATTCTGGCTTGCTCCAGCACTGGAAAAATATTTAGCACCACACCCTCAACAAAGGCTCAACACAGCCAAGGCTGTCAAATCAACTCTTGTTGGTCTGTTTTCACAGTTTTCGGAGGAATCAAAATTAGGCGAAATAATAAAACGTGCACAGAAGTTTGTTACCGCAGCGGGGCTCAGGTAATTGGGGCATTAAAAGAGCCAGAGGAAAACCATCGTGAAGATGTCCCTGTTTTTAAATCCTCTACCCGACCTAGGATTTACCCCCGCTTCCACTGGTAGTTTAATTCTTTTTACCTGGCCAGTCTGACAAGCCTTTGTTGGCACTGCCACTTTCCCGGGCAGCATTACTCAGCACCCAGGTGGACACAGGCGCCCGCTCTGGCCAGGCGAGGGGGCTGCGGGGTCTCAGGGGACGAGGTGGGAGAGGACCTCGGCCCTGGGCGCGCCCCGCTCCCTCCTCCTCCAGGACCCCTACCCTGGACTCAAGGACCGCGGAGAGGCAGCCGGGTCGGCGCAGGTCCCGGGCAGCCGAGGCGCGGGGCGGGCTGGGGCTCGCAGCCGGGTTGGCGGAGGCCGCGGGGACCCGACGCGCCCCGGCGCACGCCCACCTCCCGCTCCCAACCCTCGCCCAAGTTCAGCCCTGCCTGCGCCCGGCGCGCACTCGGCGCCTCGCCCCCGCGGCCAGCCGGCCGCGCCTCCTCCCGACCCCTTACCTTTCCGTTCTTGGGGCTGCCGTTAAGGAACAGGGTCACCCGCCTCATCGCGCTGCCCCCGCCGGGTCCTGAGTGAGCCGCCACCCTCCCACCTGGCCCTCCGCCCACCTTTTTCTCCTCCCGCCCTTCCCCTCCCTCCACCCACTCGGGCTCTCCTCCCTTCGCCACCTTCCTTCTCTGGCGGACACACCACACACACGCACTCCCAGTCCCACACCCCAGGGTTGGCCGGTCCTCCTTCCCACCCCGCCCCTAGGCGCCTCTGCCTGCCAGCGGCCCTTCCCCCACCGCTCCGAGACCGACACTGAGCTTCGCCAATCAAATCGCGGCGCCGGCCAGCACTTAGCCAATCAGAGTCCTGCACTGGGTGGACTCTAACTAACCCACTCGGGGCGGAGGAAGGGAACAGAGGCTGAATGCTACTAGACGGAAAGGGATATTGGCCAATCAGAGCCTAAACTACAGCCGAACGGCTGCTCTACGCGTTATTGAGCAAGCGCACGCTCAATTCTAGTTGGCACTCATCTGCATACGGAGGCGGGGTTGGAGGAAGAAGGTGGAGTGCTAGAAGAAACCCGCGCACAAAACTCCTCCCACTCTCTCAACCCACAGCGGAAACGGCTGCAGTCAGGATTGGCTGATTGGGTAAAAGAGCCAGTCCGTCGTTCTGTCAGGATTGGTCTAATGATTCTTTTCGAAGTTTGCGGCATCCAATGGAAAGGTTGGGCCCGGAGCTAAACGGATAAATGGTTACTCCGCGAGCTTCTCACAAGAAAATAGTGCCCGGGACTCAGGAAAGCAGTCAGTCAGCTTTATCGGGGGCGTGCCTGTAGCTAGTGGTGGCTACTCTCCGGTCCCAGGGGCCCTCACCTGTGCCTGACGGCCAGAGAAAGGCCTAGGAGAGTTCGGGTGGCGCACGGCGTACAGATTCCGGAGGCTACGCCGGCATCGAGGGGGCGGGGCCGCAATTTGAATCTGGCGGCGGGCGGCTGTGGAGCGGTGGGCTGGCAGGGGACCGCTAGGTGCGGTGTGGGACGCGGGGCGCAGCGCGGTGGGCAGACGTGGCGAGCAGCCCCCTGAAGAGCTAGGGTCCACAGAGGTGGCGAGCAGCCCCCTGAAGAGCTAGGGTCCACAGAGGGAGACAGCCGCGACTCTGGTCCGCTGCGGTGCTCTCAGAGCAAACCCGGGCGCGGGGCGCTTCGAGGTGGGCATGAGAGGTAGGCCCGCCTCAGGGCTCTGGCTTCGGGGTGGGTTGGCAGTGCTCCTTCTCCGGGGTGTCTCTCGGAATTGCTGGACTTAGCACTTCGCACGGGGACGCGGAAGGTGACCCACTTACGACTTGCCCTGGGTCACCCGGGGTGGTCTTTAGAATGAGTTTTCCGGGGTCCCTCCAGACCTGCTCACTTAGAATTTCGGGAAATGCACACAGCTGCCTCTTTATCCGGGATACACAGATGACTCACATATCCAGAAAGATTGAGGGGTCTGCTTTATTTCAAGCTGAACAGCAGTAACTCCATTTCTTTCTCTCTCAACAGCTCTTTTTATGGCAGCTATATAAAAAAAAATCAAAATATTTAGAATTACGGGTTAGCTCCCTCTCATAGGAAGTTGCCATACTTCCCAGTTGAAAGTGAATTGTGTATATCAGCGACATACTGACGTGTAATTGTAATTTGGAGCAAAAATGATCCAAGAAGAAAACATTACAGTATCTATTTTTGTGTAAGCAATTGCTTATGTACACATAGGAATGTCAGAGTGCAAGATGGTGCTAGCCCAGACACAAAGATTAAAATTATTGTGTGAAGATTGGTGGTGGTTTTAAGTGTTGTGCCATTATACCTCAAAAAAATCTATTCATGCTGATATAAATTGTATTGGCATTCAATCCTGAATAAGGATTTTAGTCTAGCCACATTAATTTTGGTGGTGGGTTATTTTTTGTTTCTTTAAATTTTGTCTTCTAGATGGATACTAATTCAAAAGACAAGGAGTCTTCTGAAATCAAAGAGTCTGCAATTAATAATGCTGGTATGTGGTGATCTGTTGCCTCTTCATGAAATTTAAGGTTTAGGTATTTATCTTGATAATGATGTTTATGCCCTACAACATCTTGTCCATTTCAGAAAATGCTGCTTTCATTTTGGGAACTGGAAAGCTTGTGATTCCTCAGAAGCATGCAGCAGGAATGACTCCTGATCTTTGCACACCAGATACTTTTAAATCATCTTTGAACTTTTCCACAGCAACCATAGAACAATTGGGAATTACACCTGAAAGCTCTGTTAAGAACTCTTCAGGTAAGAAAAGTTGTCATTCTATTGTACTGCTTTTCAGGTATAAAAATCACATTAGTATAATTAGTTTTGTTGTTTCTCTCCATCTTATTACAATAGGTGTCTAAGTTGATTGACTCTGCAAACTTGGTTATTCAGGTGATTTTTTTTTTTTTTTTTTTTTGCCTTTTAAATTTTTTGTAATGAGGATTGAACCCAGGGACTCTGCAACTGAGCTACATCCCAGCTCTTTTTATTTTTTGAGACAGGGTCTCACAAAGATTGAGGCTGGCCTCAAAATCCTCTTGCTTCAGCCTCCTGGGTTTCTGGGATTATAGGCTTGCAGCATGGCCTGGGTGACTTCAGTGCACATGCCCAACTCATCTAGCATGGCAGATGGGGTCAATAAGGTCTTGGAGCACCCAGCTTGATGATGATCCTAAATCAGGTGTGTTCCATGCCCATCTTGGAAAACTGTGTGAATCACTTTTTGACCCAACAAGGGGGATCTAAGAGGGTGTATAATAGGAATAGTCGTTCATTAATGTTTATATATAGCAAAAATAAGTGGAAGTTGAGGATCAATTCAAAAAAATAACATCAATAGATTGGCATGTGCCTCTTTTAAAAATCACAAACAGAAAATTGACTTGGGCTGGTGTTCAAGCAGTAGAAATGAAATTCACCAGTGAAGTCTGACTTCGGTGGATAAGAAAGAAATATGGGAATAGAATTGGATTAGAGAATGACATTTAGAAATGGAGGATAGCAGGAGACTGGAGAGACCAATCATTATCGCGCAGTATGAGACATTAATGAGACAAGGCTGAAATGGCACCTGTTCTGTGTTCTTTTTTGTTTGTTTTTGTTGTTGTTGTTCTGTGTTCATCACTCTTGGGTCTGGGGTTGTGGCTCAGTGGTAGAATGCTTGACTGGCACATGTGAGGCACTGGGTTCCATCCTTAGCACCACATAAAAGTAAATCAAATAAAGGTATTGTGTCTGTCTACAACTAAAAAATATTTTAAAAAAGAAAAAAGGAACATCACTCTTAGGACTGTAAAACGCTAGATCTGTTTTGTACTCAGGCAAAAGGGCAAAATTTAGGGTAGTGTGCTGAAGGTAAGTAGGTATCTCAGAAAAAAAATTACCTTGAAAAATTAAGAGCAAAAGAGCATAGTAGTGGTCTCTACCCTCACAACCTGCTGCTGTTATCCACAGGGATGTATTCAAAGACTCCCAGTGGATTTCTGAAACTGAAGATAGAACTTAACCCTGTATGTGCTTGTTTTTTCCTTCCTGTACATGCGTATCAGTGGGAAAGTTTAACTTGTAAATTTGGTAGAGTAAAAGCTTAAGAACAACTAACTAATAACAGAAAAATTATAACTTCACTGTAGTAAGTCATATGAAGTTGTTCTGTTTCTCTAAACATCTTATTGTGCTTTTCATTTAAAGGAAGCACTTTGCAGCTTCTTTTTGGTATGTTTGAATTTCCAACATCACTACTCTTGAGCTTCAGGCCATGATTAAGTATAATAATGTTTACATGAACACAAATACTATCAGACCATCTAAATAGCCAATGTGGCTACTAAGTGACTTAATGTGTGGGTATGCTGGACATGCCTGACAAAGTTTGTTTCATATCCTAGATAGGTTGGAGTTGGAGAACTTGAGATTTCATCTGTCATACAATGCAATTTAAAATTTATGCATTGTTTATTTCTGGAATTTTCCATTTAATGTTTTCCAGCTGGGTGACCCTAGGTAACTGAAATCATGGGTAAAGGGGGACTGCTATTCAGGTGCTTAGGTAATCTTTCTGTCATTGTGGATAAAACTAATTCAAAAAAAGGAGGAGTTCTTAGTCAAAAGAAAGCCATTACCCACCTCTGTATGCAGGAAATACGGAACAAAAATAAAACTACTAGATGAAATGTGTTATTGTATCTTTCGACGACTTTCATAGATGCCTTCTATGTGCCAGGCACTATTTTAGGAGCATGGACTAAATGAGTGGACAAAACAAAGATTTCTACCCAATTGATGATGGTTAGAATTACCTTGCCAATAATTCTCTACTTAGTATTGTGTAACATGTCATGTTTTCTCTCTCAGGCTGGTACATCACCAGCTTTGGACATGATTACTAATGATTGCTGTGTTTTGTTCCAATTTATAAGAGAATTTCATTACAAAAAAGTCTCGTCGACGTTCTTCAATTGGCACCCGGGGCTCTCCTGAAACAAACCATCTGATTCGTTTCATTGCTCAGCGGAGGATTTTAAAGAATGCTAAGAGAACATCTTTGGCACAGGATTCTCCCTTTCAGGTATGGTTTTCTTGTACATTCTTTCATGAATTCTGCTAGGAAAATATTTTGGTTTATTATGAAATTTTGGATTTGTAGTGTGTTTTCTGTGTCTTGCAGAGAATTTGCAGTTAACATAAATGATAATGTTAAACATGGATAAGAGTTAGGTGGCCTTGGATTGAAATGGTTTTCTTTCCAGAGGAGCTTTCTATTTATTTTACTAACATTTTTCAGTTTGTCTATTTTTCTAGAATGAGATGAGGCACTGTTTTATTGTTTTCCAACTTTTTTCTTTCCTGCTTTAAAAATCTTTAAAAACATTTTTTTTGTTGTTGTCCTTTTTAGTTATACATGATGGTAGAATGTATTTTGACATTATATGTACTTATATAACTTCCCATTTTTTAAAAATATTTATTTTTTAGTTTTAGGTGGACACAATATCTTTATTTCTCATTTACGTGGTGCTGAGGATCAAACTCAGTGCCTCATGCATGGGTAGGTGAGAACTCTACCACTGAGCCACAGTCTTAGCCCCATATTACTTCCCATTCTTGTGGTTGAACATGATGTGGAGTTACATTGGTCCTGTATTCACGTATGAACATAAGAAAGTTATGTCCGATTCATTCTACTGTCTTTCCTGTTCCCACCCCCTCCCTTCATTCCCCTTTGACTAATCCAATGACTTTCTATTCTTTTCCTACTTTCCCTCACCCCATTGTGTGTTAGCATCCACATATCAGAGAACATTCAACCTTTGGTTTGGGGGGACTGACTTATTTCACTTAGCATGATAGTCTCCAGTTCCATCCATTTACTAGCAAGCCATAATTTCATTCTTCTTTATGGCTGAGTAATATTCCATTGTGTGTATACATGTATATATACATTTTCTTTATCCTTTAATTTGTTGAAGGGCACCTAGGTTGGTTCCACAGTTTAGCTATCGTGAGTTGAGAGCTGCTTTAAACATTGATGTGGCTGCATCACTGTAGTATACTGGTTTTAAGTCCTTTGGGTATAAACCAAGGAGTGGGATAGCTGCATCAAATGCTGGCTTCATTTCAAGTTTTCTGAAGAATATCCATAATGCAACCAATTTGCAGTCTCACCAGAGAAATGCAAATCAAAACTACTCTAAGATTTCATCTCACTCCAGTCAGAATGGCAATTATCAAGCACATAAGCAACAATACGTGTTGATGAGGATGTGTGGAAAAGGTATGCCCATGCAAGATTTTTTAACAGTATGCCCCAGTCATTTGGAAAGTATTGATTCACTATATTATCTTCCAAATACTGATGCATTCTATTAGGCAATAGTAAAATACTTCATAAATATTCCTACTGATCCATTGAAGTATCTCTCAGAAAGTTGTCAGGCTTAATAGTAGTGGATACATGGTTTCTAAAATTCTAATTTATTCTTACAAATGCAAATTTTCTCATTGGTAAGAATTATTTGTTTGAGGCAGATTCGTAAATGGATGGAGCTGGAGAGTATTCATGCTAAACAAAGTAAGCTAATCCCCAAAACCCAAATGTTTTCTCTGATATGAGGATGCTAATTCACAAGGGAGAGGGGGCTAGGGAAGAATAGAGTTACTTTGGATTAGGCTGAAGGAAAGGGAGGGGGCAGGGGGGGTAAGAAGAATAGTAGAAAGAATTGGACATTATTACCCTGTGTGCATATATACTACACGGCCGGTGTGATTGTACATGCACAACCAGAAGAATGAGAAGTTATACTCCATTTACATATGGTGTTTTAAAGTGCATTCTACTGCCATGTGTAACTAATTAGAACAAAAATAAATTTTTTTAAACTTGCATGGTTAAAAGATAACCTCTATACTGCAAAGTAGATTGGATTTTAACATAACAGAATATGAAACATTAATTGATAGAATTTTGTGTGTGACGTTGTGATTAACTTTTAACAAATCTTATGAGTTTTATTGAGTAAAGAAGATTGACAATTCTGAAAAGGCTGTTAAAATACTTCTAATAGATGTAACCAACATACATAGCTCAGAGTACTTGATAATTTTTAAGAGTAGGAAACCGTGTTGAGGTCTGCTGTTACAGTAGATACAAGCATGGAGTCTAAAGCTTTATTGCTTGGGTTTTATCTTTGCTTTGTTAGTAATTAGTTGTGACTTTTGACAAATTACTTAAATTCTCTGTTCCCAAGTTTAAATCAGGTGATAATAATAGCAAGGACTTTCTGAGGATTAATAAATAAATGTGATGTACTTATAGCATTTCCTAGAATATGCATGGAATGGTTTGATTTTGCTATAGTTATTACTACTGAAAATAACTATAGCAAAACAGTTGGTATAGTATAGTGCTTCACCTACCTAACCTAATGCTTTCCCCTTTCTCCCTCCAGTGCCATCAGGTACAATTTTTGTTTAAATTAGGGTTTGGTATGCATTACTTAAATGTACACATTTTCCAGAAACTGTTCTGTACAATGCAGTGGTTTTCTTTCTTGCACAACTTTTGTTTTTCCAGAGTTAATAAGTACTTTTTTTTTTTCTTTTAATCTACTGCATATCTCATTTCCTTACTTGACAAAAACTGTGAACCTTAAGAGTCTGTCAGTCTTCTTTTCTTCTTGGAGTCTTGCCCTTTTCGTCCTGTCTGGCTTGGTTGCCATCTAGGCTTGCTGGGCAGACACCATTCTGTAGCTTCTTATACCATCCCTAGTAATTACCTTTTCCACTTCCATTTGGATCCCATTTCCTTGGTCTCCTTTTTCTTAATTTACTACCTCATTTTTCTGGAATTGCCACATATTTGATAGATTTATTCTACTAACACATTACATTGTTTTTCTTGGTACAGGAATCTAGGTTGAAATATTTTCCATCAAAAATTTGAAAGCATTACTCCATTGTATTTTGGCTTACGGAGTTGAATAGCTCTGATCATTCATTTATTCAACAAATATTTTGATGGCTGACTTTTCATGTTTCTTTTTATGATGGAATATCTTTTGTTGTGGATTGTTTTATTGAGGTTTTCTTCCTTGCCTTTCAAGATCTCTTTTTCATCAGGTTCCTTTTATTTTTCGGGCTGTATTTTAGATTGTCTTATTCTCAGCACTTTAAATGTCTGTTAATCTTCAGATGTTTGTATTTAAGACTCAGGCACTTTGAAAAACTGCTTGGGAATTCAAGGTGCACAGACAGGGCTTGCTAACTAGTGAATTTCTATGTAAGACAAACAGGGCCACTTTTTCCCTGGGGAAACATGTAATCTATGAATCTTTTCTCTGGCTGATCTGCTTTCCTGAGAAGAATTCCTGGTGGTATAAACCTGAGTCCTAGAGCTCTAAAAGTTAATGTGGGAATATCACTATTCATTGAAGAGCCTTGGTCAGCTCTGTTTTCAGTATAGGCCTCTTCTTTGTCTCCTTCTCTTTGATTTGAGAATCATCTCTACACTGATGAGTCTGAAATGTCTGTCTTCAGCCCCAAAGTCCTGGATAACAGCGGCCCACTATTCAGTTGCTCCCTTGTGGGTTTTTTTGGGGGGCGGGGGGATCGGGGGTGTTACCAGGGATTGAACTTGGGAGCACTTGACCACTGAGCCATATTCCCAGCCCTAGCTTTTGTATTTTATTTAGAGACAGGGTCTCACTGAGTTGTTTAGCTCCTCGATTTTTCCTGAAGCTGCCTTTGAACTCAGCAACCTGTCTCAGCCTCCTGAGCTGCTGGGATTAAAGGCATGCACCACTGCGCCTGGTGCTCCCTTGGGGTTTTTGTTGTTGTCGTTGTCGTTGTGCACAATACCTTTATTTGATTTATTTATTGTTTTATGTGGTGCTGAGGATCAAACCCAGGCCTAGAACATTCTAGGCAAACACTCTACTGCTGAACCACTACCCCAGCCAAGCTCCCTTGGGTTTTGAAAAACATTTCCAGCATAACCTAGCCAAAACCCAGCTGTTGATACCCACCCTCCAGCAGATTCTCTAGCCCACTCTCCCATTTCAGGGAAAGCCATCATCATCTAGTTGCTCAGGCCTCAGGCCTTTTAATCTTTCTTGATTCCTGTCTTCCTTAGTCCCATCTCCAAGTTATCACTACTTTTTGGCTGCATTTCAAAAGCCTACCTATAATTCTTCACATCCTCACAGCTACAACTCTGCTTTAGTGACTCTAGCCAGTGTCACCAACTGCTTCCTCCTACCTGGTCTCCTTTTTCCTTTTTCCCTAATCTATCTATCATTACACAGATCAAAGAGGTATATTTAAAGTATAAATGAGATCCTTGACTCTGCTCCTTAAAACTTTGCCATGGCTTTCTGTTATGCCTTGATTTAAATCCTGAAGGCTTCTGGTCCCTCTTGATCTGAGCCCTACAAGCCCTTCTCTTGTTTGCTTCCAGTCAGTGGGCTTTCATTTTGCCCCATCCTATTTCCACCAAGAGCTTCTGCTCACTTCTCCTAATTCTTGCAGAACACCTTTTTCCCCTGCACCACTTTCCCATTATTGTGGTTTCATCTCAGGTGTTCAGCACTTTAGTGACTTGGCCATATTCATATTTTATATTTTCCAAAATCTCTTGTCCTCAAACTTACTTTAATATGTTTTCAGAATTTCACTCTGGAATGTAATTCCTCCCACATCTTAAGCTCCTAGAACAGGTTCTGGTTCACAGAAAGGAATGTTGGCTGACTGACATGATTGAGAAGACAAAAGTGGCAAAAAGCTGTACGTTTTGACTGTTTCATTTACTTAGTACATGAACCTTGTTCTCTTCCTCCAGCAGGAAAACAACATTGCAAGTAGGAAAACTTATAGTTTGTATTAAGCTGCATTTCAAAGTGCTCCAAGTTGCTAGAACATTACATCAACCCTGTCATGTTCAAATATGAGTACACACAAAGCACATTAAAAGCAATTCATATGCCATTGAGATAATCTTGTCCCATCACTCCTAGAGACAAGTGACCCATAGACTTTTTGAATAATATGTGTTCTTTATGTCAAAAAGGTTTACATCATCAAGTGTATTTGAATTTAAAATGTTCTGCTTTTATGTAATAGACTTGCTTTATGAATGTACTAGGGATAGAATCAAATGTATGAACAGATCATCCAACATGACTTGAAGATTTTAACTGTTTATTTCCCTCCATATGATATCTTAAGGGAAGGTAATATCTTTCTTTTACTTTTGCATTTTGATGTGAATTTTTGAATTGCTACAAGCTCCTATCAGTGGAAATGTGTTAGTCCAAGTAATAAAGGAAGGAAAAACAAAACACCAAAAATCCTGCAGAGAGAACTTACCACTAACTTACTATTGATATTGACAGAACTCTTAAATTTTATATCACCTGTCATGTGGCACTTCTGTACCTGCTAGTGTAAATTCATTTTATTAGTATTTGCTTGGTGCCCTGTCAGAAGGGTTTCCAGAGAGCTCCTGGGCATGCCCCATCTAGGTTTGTATGTTAAGTGAGTGGCTTTCGTTCCTAAGTTCCATAAGATCAGGAAAAGGTAGCCAGGGAGAGCTCTTTGGCTCTATGAGGAGGGATGTCAGGAGCCAGTGTGGAACTTCTGTGCTTATTCTGACTTCCCCTGGCAGGGGACTTTTGCAGACTGAGGATGAGTAAAGAGATCAGCTTGGATTGAAGGTGTGCTGAGATGAAACATGTGACAAGGCATCACACAGATGACTTGCAGTTTTAGCACAACTTTTGATGAAATTTCCAAATAAGCAGGACCCTCCAGCCCCTTCTTCCTTGCCCCATCTCTGGGATTCAGTATGGTGTTTTTCTGTTGTTTTGTTTTTGTATTGGATACCAAGGTGTGAAAGAAAGCACTTAAGGGCCTTGGAATCCTTTAAAGAGTTGTTAATCCCATATAACTGGGAATGCATTTTATCTGGACTCCTTTCTAAAGCATTTCCACCTATTCCAAGCTTCTCTTAACATGATTCATGGGCTCATTACTCAGTATTAGCACATAGCTACACATCTATCCATACCACTTAGCTATTCCTCTTCCCTGAGGTTTTGCTAAAAACTGGGAAAAACAGAGGGGAAATTAAAATGATTGTAGTATACCACATATTCAGATAGAAAATGCAGACTTCCAGGTAGAAGAAGCTTTGCTATACCTATTCTTTACATCTGATCTTCAAAAGGCCTTTGTGTATTTAGTTTTAGATTCAGTGATTATAGGCCTAGAATAAACTAAGCTTGATTGATAATACTCTGTTTTTGTACTATAACAGGGCAGCCCTGGACTGTATCAAAATGTTAGCTCATTAAGAGAGCGGATATCTGCTTTCCAGACAGCTTTTCACTCCATAAAGGAAGATGAGAAAATGATTGATTGTCCAGAATTCTCAGGAGTGAGAGGAGGATTTGAGACAACAGGTTTGAGTGAGTATCAAGAATTCATTCTGTATTCTGACTTCTGTGTTGATGAAGACAAGTTTCTAAGATATAAAGAAGATTTATTTTCACTGTGAGAAAACAGTTTTTGCAGAGTTCCATTGTATCTTTAAATGGAGCCTAACATTTAAAATTGGGACATATCACACAGAAATCTGGATTTCTGGTTTCTTTTGAAAAAAACCTAATATCAAGCATTCCTGAACCTTCATTTTCACATCATTGCAATTGAGTTCTAAGTTTTAAATAGAGCTTATTAGCTCATATCAGCTTTAGAATAGGATATGTGTCAAATTTGAGTTTATAAACCTTGATTTTTTTTAATAGGATTATTCTTTTAGTTTTGCAAACATTTATGTGAATACCAAATACCCAACTCTGAGGTTAACCACATATATGTCCAATCTGATATCTTAATGATCTGCTGTATTCTTTGCTGTACCTCTTAAATTATAATTCATTTGGTTATTTTTTAGTCATTTTTTGTTTTTCCAAATACAAAGCACTTGAAATACCAGAACTCAACAAAATCTTGGACTTACTGCAATCAGTATAACTATTCCTTTAGTACTTCACATGCCTAGGTTTCAAATGATTCTCTTTTTTTTTAATTTTTAATTTTTTTTAAGAAAAGATGCTTTTTGCTTTATTAGACTTTTTTTTTTTTTAAGAATTTAAAAATATGGAACACTTCATGAATTTGTGTGTCATCCTTGCACTGGGGCCATGCTAATCTTCTCTGTATCTTTCCAATGTTAGTATATGTGCTGCCGAAGCGAGCACAAATGATTCTCTTTTGACTTCTTGTTTTAGTCCGCTTTTTTGCTGCTGTGACTAAAAGACCTGATAAGAATAATTTTAGAGGAGGAAAAGTTTATTTGGGGGCTCACCGTTTCAGAGGTCTTAGTCCATAGATAGCTGACTCCATTCCTCTGGGCTTGAGATGAGGCTGAACATCATGGCGGAAGAATGTGGCAGAGGGATGCAGTGCACATGATGATCCGGAAGCAGGGAGAGACTCTACTCATCAGATACAAAATATATATTCCCCAAAGCCACGCCCTAGTTCCAACCCCCTCTAGCCATACCCTACCTGCCTTCAGTTACCACTTAGTCCTATCAGGAGATTAATTCACTGATTGGGTTAAAGCTCTCATCGCAATCATTTCTCCTCTGAACCTTCTAGCATGCTTTCTCACATGAGCATTTGGGGGACACCTCACATACAATCCATAACACTGCTTAAACCATCTTCAAGTACATTTCAGTACTTTCTGTGTGCAGTCTACTGTTAACTCAACATGTCTGATTCATTCACCTCTGCATTGCATGACCCATTCAGAGGTCCTAATTTGTATTTGTAGTTTCTAAAATATCTATTATTTGGATTTTTATCTGGGTTTGAAAATTTATTTTATTTGTATCATTATTATAATTCTGCTGACTTTGAATTATCAAGGGTTAGGGCTTCTTTTTTTGTATTAAGAAAGAACTGAGGCACATTACAGTTGCATTTTTTCACAAAAGTCACAATAAAAACACAGCAGTATTAGAACATAACCACATCCTTTAAAATGTTCAAAATAAAAGGCTTAATGGTAAATTTAGAAAGAGTGAGACACCCTATTAGAAATGCACATGTATTTTAGTGTATCATTCTAAAAATCCCATAATTCTAATTAAATTTATTGTCTTTTTAGTAGTCATGTTTTCTTGCCTGTCAACTCAATCTCCTTTTTGAGTAAAAAGGTTAAAGATATAAAAAAAAAAATTATTTCTTTTCATTGATAATTTAAACACTGAATTTTCCCCCAATTTTTATAGTGTACAAAATTTTAAAATAGCTTAGGAAAAAAATGTTGATTCCTGTGTCATTTTGTGTGTGTAGCCAACATGGAAGGTCTTGGTGAATGTCAGCAGTCTGGTTTCTCTGAAAAGTTACCATGCAAACGTCGAAGAATATCCTTGCAGAGCAGCTCTGATGACAACCTCAGCAATGTCGAAAGGGGAGTGATGGATCTTCAGATCCTTAGTATGGATGTGGATGGCATGTGTGCTGATGAAGCTTCTGCAGATCTTCCTGAGGTAATTCATTTATTTTACACACACAAATGGAGCTCTGGTTTCCTGCCTGGGTGGTTTAAGACTGTCAAGGCCTTATTTCAATGTTAATGCTTTCTTGTGACATGTAGATGCTAGGGTTTTAAGTTGTGTTTGGTGTTTCCTTCATGTTACTTTCTTTCTTTTTTTTTTATTAGCTACACATGACATTACAATGATCTTGGCAATTCATACATTTGAATCAATTGGGGTATAATTTCTCATTTTTCTGACTACAGATTGCAGAATCACATTGGTCATACAGTCTCCTATGTACATATAGCATGTTACTTCTAATGTCATTTACTAAAAACAGTTTTGTGGGGTTTTGTGTTGTTTTCTTTGTTCTTAGTACTGGGCTTTGAATCCAGAGGCACTCTACTACTGAGTGGTTTTCCCAGCCCTTTTTATTTTTTATTTTAATATAGGATCAATCTAAGTTGCTTGGGCCTCACTAAGTTGCTAAAGGTGGCCTTGAACCTGTGATCTTCCTGCCTCAGCCTCCTGAGGTACTAGGATTACAGATGTGCACCACCAAGACCTGGCTAGAAATAGTTTTGATAGATATGTTGATCTTCCACAAAGGACTTTATGAAAAGCTTAAGTTCTGTGTCATCTGCATGATATGTTATTCTAGATGGTCATGGTTTGATGGTCTTAGTCTTGCTTTCAAGAAGCTTATTGTCGAGGAAAGTAGAATCTAAACGGACAGATAATTTAAACATCAATTACACTGCAGTTGCATGTAGGGTGATCTCTGGGAGGTGCTGCTTAGGTCTAAGGTCTTGCACTTGTTGCGCCTGACTGGGTTAATACTGGCTGGGAATCTAGGTGCCCTTTGGCAATTCCTCCTTGTTTCAAGTACATAAGGGACTTTTGTGGCTTATAACTACCTAGCTAGTAAAATTCTCTAAGAACAATAACCAACATGAATTTTACTAAAACAGGAGAAAAATCATACTCTTGAAGATCTGCTGACCGTTATGCAAGAGGGAACAGGGAGCCAGTGTCGTAGCTTTTCTTGCTTTATATTCCTTGTTCTGGTGTGATTCAGTAGGTTCTCATTTGCTTTGTGAGAGGGGCATCTAACTGTTAAACAGCCGGAACTTTTTTCTGCACCGTCCCTGTCACTTAGATTTGTATATAACAGTTAAAATATATCTCTCATACTCACTAGAGATTCTTCAATTTCTAATAGGTTTCATTTGTGTCCCAGAGTTGTCCGAAATCTTTGCTCACTCTGCTTTATTCTGGCTAGAGTTACATGATACGACAGAAGCCATAATGATTTTTTCTTATCAGAACTTTGATTCATTGGACATGTACCACAATATAGAAATGGTTTCTGAATTAGTATGAATATATATTCTGTCCTAGCCATTAATGTTTCTTTCATTCTAGCTGTTTATCTTTTGGTATTTGATTATTACATAACACTTTAAGACATTCCTCTTTGAAGGTAGCAATTTCAATAGGCAACATAAATATGTCCTTTAAACTTTTTCTAGGGGACTGAAAATTTATTTTGTGAGATGTTTAGGATACAATTAAGATGAGTACTCCTCTGTTAGATTCCTGTTCACTTTGAGTTTGTTTGTTAGATAATAAGGTGACTGAACACCAAATTTCCAGGTAATCCATGATGCCTACTAAAATCTGCATCAAGTTTCAGTTATACTACACGTAATAAAATATAATGCTTCTTTACTTTTTACCTGTTTTCTCTAAGAAATCATCTGAACTTGGTTTAACCCAGCCTGGATATATAGCAAAAGCATCTTCTACCTGTTTAGTGGGCCCAGAGGCTTCAAACGGTAAGTAGGGAATTTTCTTTAGTATTTTTGCTGGTTACCCCATTCCATGGATATGTTTTATTTATGTACTTATACACTAAAACTTCAGAAGACTAACATGATTCCATACTTTTTAGGAGCTTTCATGATTTCATACTTTTTAGGAGCTCTCAAACTAGTAGGAATGTGTTGGAATTATTGGAATATGAGCAATTTATTTTTTGAACTGCTGTCTTAATTGGTCAAGTATTTCCAAGCTAATAGAATGTAGTATAAAGAGTAGGGGCTACTAATATATTAAGTCTGTTTTGTTAGAGTAGCACTATATGTAAATTTTGCTACTTATTTCTCTTTTTAAGGATACAAAAAGTCTTCATAGGATGCAGAAGTTATTTATCGTTTCCCAAAATTTGTTTTCTCATATTCAGTGAGAGTTGCTACCACAGTTTCAGGCTTGCCTGCCTGTTTTTTATTTGTTTTTGTTTTTTAAAAGTAAAATTCCGGTGGGACATAGTTGTATCTTGCTTTTTTATTCATTCTGATAATTTCCACCATTTAGTTGCAGTATATATTTATATCCACTATTTTATCATATATTTTTTAGTTTTTTTGTTCCTCTCTGTTCTTGCCACCTTTAGGTTTATTTGACTTTGACTTTAGAATTCCATTTTAATTTCTTGCCTTTTACCTAGGTTGCATCTTTTTTTTATTATTGCTCTGGGACTATAACATAACATTTTTTGCTTCTCATAGTCTTCTTACAATTAATATTGTACAACTTCACATAGAATATAGAAATTTACCAGTTGTACAGCTTGATTCCTATCCCCCACCATGGCTTTTTAGTTCTTTTTTTAAAAAAAATATTTATTTATTTTGGATTAATGGAAGGTATGTTATTTACTACTTTGAATAAAATGAAGCCAGAGGGGTCAATAAGTGAAGCTCTTCGTGAAGGCCAGTGTTTTCACCCCTCTTAAAATATTAACATGTCCCCATTCCATGGCTGCTTCACTAATCAATTCTTAAATATATTAATTTAGTTTTCAGGCTAAGTGCTTTCCCAAGTCTTATCCAGGCAAATAAGATAAAACACTGGGTAATACACACATCAAATAATGGTCATGGTCAGTGTTAACTTTTTTGCAAGCAGGGACTATGGGAAAGGACTGTCCTGAGCAGGAAAAGAAAGTTGCACTCAAGGACACACCAAGACTTTGCATCTTTCCAGCTTGAGAAACCTCTGCACTATTAAATCTTATCAATTCATATTATCTCTGAGAATCTGTATAGTCAGCAAAGTTCTCTTCATCAAGTGAATCTCAAGGTTCACAAATGATCGACACACAAATGATCTTTTCTGGACTGACTGTATCCTTCACTTTTGTTACAGTGATTCATATTTCCTTGTTTGTAAAACTAGATTTTCTATTTTGCAGGAGAGAAGGCTGGTAAATTTGTTGGGGGGCCAGAGCAGCGGGTACAGATTGAGAATCAATGAGTCAATGATTGATTCGTCTTTCTTTAACCAGCAGGAATCATCCAGTTGGGAGAGCAGTGACAATTAAATCATAAATCTAAACTGTCGTGTGTGTGTGTGTGTGTGTGTGTGTAGTTGTTTTTTTAGAATTTGTTCTAATTAGTTATATATAACAGTAGAATGTATTCTGATACATTGTATACAAATAGAGAGCAACTTCTCCCTTTTGCTGAATATGGTGTAAAGTCACACCAGTAGGGTAATCATACATGTATGTAGGATAATGATGTCCATCTCAGTCCCCTGTTCTTCCCATTCTCACTTCCTCTCCCCTCGCCCCCCTCTACACAATCCAGAATTCCTTCATTTTTAGCCACCCATCCACCCCCAATATGGATTAGCATCTGCTTATCAGAGAAAACATTTGGCCTTTGGTTTTTTGGGTTTGGCTTATTTCGCTTTAGCATGATAATCTCCAGCTCCATCCATTTACCTGCAAACACCATAATTTCATTCTTCTCTAAGGCTGAGTAATATTCCATTGTGTATATGTACCACATTTTCTTTATCCATTCATCTGTTGAAGGTCATCTAGGTTGGTGCTATAGTTTAGCTATCATAAATTGAGCCGCTATAAGCATGGATGTGGCTGTGTCACTGTAGTGTGCTGATTTTAAGTCCTATGGGTAAAAACCGAGTAATGGGATAGCTGGGTCAAATGGTAGTTTGTAAGGAAAACAAAAGGAGACAGAAGCAAGGTGCAGAGGCAAAGCAAAAGCTGCTTGCCTGAGCTGCTAGCTTTATTTATATCAATAGGTTACTTTAGGTCATTGGCATCCTTAGTACATATTGTTCATTGAATCACTAGGCAGGTTACAGACCTAGCAACATTATGCTGTTTATTCCTCAGTTATGTACTAAGTTGCAATGTGCAATGTTAGGAGCTTTGTGAAGCTCTCAAGAAAGTCCATTGGATAAAGTTATTGTTAGGTGGGCAGGTTTAGGCTCAGTGAAACATTGTAGTTGACTAACAAGAGACTTCCTTTATGCCCAGGAGCTGAGTGTCTGAGAGCAAGGTCAAGGCTGATAAGACTCTAGCCCAGAGCCTCCTCATGAAGGATGTTACCATAGCAGCTAGGCAATGCACATGTATTAGTTATCATACTAATTCCAGGGAAAAACTGCTGAATATTCTAAGTGTGGAAAACAGAGCACCTGTTACCCGCCAGGAGTGAACACTGCCTTAAACATTTCCACAGCCAGAATCCTTACAGTGGTTCCATTCTAAGTTTTCTGAGGAATCTCCATACTGCCTTCTAGAGTCCTTGCACCAATTTGAAGTCCCACCAGCAATGTATGAGTACACCTTTCCTCCCACATTCTTGCCAACATTTATTGTTACTTGTCTTCTTGATAAATGTCATTCTGACTAGAGATGAAATCTTAGAGTAGTTTTAATTTGCTTTTCTCTAATCGCTAGAGATGATGAACATTTTTTCACATGTTCGATGATTGATTATATTTCTTCTTCTGTGAAGAAGAAATTTATTTATTGATTGGGTTATTAACCCATTTATTGATGGGGCTACTTGTTTTTTTTTGTTTTGTTTTTTGGTTCTAAGTGTTTTGATTTCTTTATACGTCCTAGAGATTAATGCTTTAATCAGAGGTGCATATGGTAGAAATTTTCTCCCAATCTGTAGGCTCTCTCCTCACATTATTTGTTGTTTCCTTTGCTGAGAAAAATCTTTTGAATTTGAATCCATTCCATTTATTGATTCTTGATTTTATTTCTTGTGCTTTAGGAGTCTGGTTAAGGAAGTTAGTTTCTAAGCTGACATGGTGGAGATTTGGTCCTAATTTTTCCTCTATTAGGCACAGGGTCTCTGTTCTAGTGCCCAAGTCTTTGATCCACTTTGAGTTGATTTTTTGTGCAGGGTGAGAAATAGGTAATTAATTTCATTTTGCTACATATGGATTTCCAATTTTGCCAGCACCATTTGTTGAATAGGCTATCTTTTCTCCAATGTATGCTTTTGGTGCCTTTGTCTAGTAGGAGATAACTTTATTCATGTGGGTTTATCTCTGTGTTTTCTGTGTGTACCATTGGTCTACATGTCTATTTTGGTGCCAATACCATGCTGTTTTTGTTACTATAGCTCTGTAGTACAGTTAAGGTCTGATATTGTGATGCCTCCTCCTTCACTCTTCTTGCTAAGGATTGCTTTGGCTATTCTGGGTCTCTTCTTTTTCCAAATAAATTTCATGATTGTTTTTTCTATTTCTATGAGGAATGCTATTGGGATTTTAATTGGATTGCATTAAATCTATATAAAGCCATTTCATAGATTGGTAGTATGGCCATTTTGACAATATTAATCCAAGAACATGTGAGATCTTTCCATATTCTAAAGTCTTCTTCAAATTCTTTAGTGTTCTGTATTTTTCGTTATAGGGGTCTTTTTCCTTTATTGTTAGATTTAGTCCCAAGTATTTTCTTTCTTTCTTTCTTTTTTCTTTTGCTATTGTGAATGGGTGTAGTTTTCCTAACTTCTCTTGAAGTGGATTCATCACTGATGTATAGAAATGCATTTGATGTCTGAGAATTGATTTTATATCCTGCTGCTTTGCTGAATTGATTTATTAGCTCTAGGAGTTTTCTGGTGGAATTTTTTGGATCTTGTAAATATAGAATCATCTCATCAGCAAACTCAGTTTTACTTCTTCTTTTCCTAGTTGTATCCCTTTAATTTCTTTCCTCTAATTACTCTGGCTAGAGTTTCCAGGACTATGCTGAATAGAAGTGGTGAAAGAGGGCATCCCTGCCTTGTTCCAGTTTTTAAAGGGAATGCTTTCAATTTTTTTCCATTTACAATGATGTTGGCCTTGGGCTTAGCACAGATAGCATTTACAGTGTTGAGATATGTTCCTACTATTCCTAGTTTTTCTAGTGTTTTGAACACGAAGAGGTGCTCTTTTTGGTCAAACACTTTTAAGTCTCTTGATGTGATGAATTAGGTTTATTGATTATTGTATGTTGAACCAACCTTGCATCTCTAGAATGAATCCCACTTGATTATAATGCATTATCTTTTTAGTATGTTTTTGTAAGTGATTTGCCAGAATTTTATTGAGAATTTTTGCGTCTATGTTCATCAGGGATATTGGTCTGGCTTTTTTTTTTTTTTTTTTTTTTCCGTGTGAGTTTGTCTGGTTTTGGTATCAGGGTGATATTAGCCTCATAAAATGAGTTTGGAAGGATTCCCTCCTTTTCTATTTCATGGAATACTTTGAGGAATATTGGTGTTAATTCTTTGAAAGTCTTGTAGAACTGAGAAACCCTTAGTTACACTAATGAAGAGAAAGAACACCCAAATTACTAAAATTCATGATAAAAAAGAAAATATCATGATGGATACTACTGAAATACAGAAGGTAATTAGACACTATTTTGGAAATTTATACTCCAATAAAATAGAAGATCTCAAAGATATCCACAAATTTCTAGACCCATATGAACTACCCGAACTGAATGCAAGAG